TGAGTTGCCGGACAGAACCTCCAACTCGGGGCTTCGTTCAAAGCCCCAGTTTTAATTTGCCAGCCCGCCCCCTCACCCATCAATTTGGCTGGGGCATTAAGATGAATAAAAATGACTTTTGAATAAGTTTGATGATTTGATAATATCTGGATTGTATATAGTGATAACACAGATGAACATCGTTGTGCAAGAAATGTGTAAATGTAAAGCATGTCATTGGAATATATCTTTGTATTTGAAAGTATATATATATGACTGCCATGCTTCCAGCTTCCAAGTATTCCTTGATTTACAGGTATGCACAATGCCAAATTCTCTAGACATGGTACAGATGGAGATTCCTTGCAAACATTAATTATATCAAAGATAACATTCTTGTTTCAATATCTTTAAATTTTGCACCAGTTGAACTTTCAGATGTATCTGTGATTAGATTTTTTCTACCACATATTTTAAGCCCCTGATCATGAATTTGAATGAACTTTTCATCATTTTGTCAAGCATATTTGGGCCAAAGTATAATCAACTTGAAGTTGTATGGGTATTGCATGGTGTGTCTGTTGGATCCTCTTACCACTTAAAAGGGTGTGTGATTGTAATGGTCATGAATACAGATCTCTCATTACGGTGTTGTTTATGGCCTGGCCGGAGGCTATGGGACAGATCATCCTACAAATGTACTATCACAATAATGTTTACCTGAAATTGATTTCCTGTTTACAGGTGGAGCTCACCTTGTCTTTCAAACTTTATAGTCTTGATAGTGATATTTCATGGCTTTACAGCTAGTGTGGGTCATAGTGGTATAGCGGGGCCCATGTTGTGTACACAGTACTGATAACTGTGTGTTCCTAGATCTGTTCAACTTTCTGCTGCAGGAGTTTTATTAGATTGGTATTCTTGGTACATATAGCATGGATACTGTTAAAGAAGAACCAGATTTTGAGGATGATTTCATGTTTGATTTTGTTGTTGAGGTATGTATATATATATATATATACACACACGACATATTGTAAAGCAGTAATGCCTTATAGTTTTAAGTTTTTGAGAATTTGAATATTTTATCATTTTAAGGGTGAAACCCGAGTCACACATGCATAAAGCTTTCATAAATCTGTAAAGTGTGCCAATGTTATCGTATGGCTAAAAGAAAACCCCACAATCATCAAAGATTTAGGCAAATCTCGCCATCTGTTAGGAACACACCTAGAATTCACAAGAATGCCGGTACATGCTGATATAAACTTTCATTGCCAATGGAGTGAATCACTCGCCAGACAACTTGTATGACGAAGAGTTCATACGTTATCAGCTGTTACCATACACATATATATCTCCTGTAACCAGACGATACTTGTAAGGCTATTAGGACGGATACTCAAGTACTCCCTGCAGGTACTTATTGAGCATCAACACCCCAGTATAGTCATAACAGTGCCGAAATGCTTCATTTCTCTGTGTCCGTGTTTATAACGTAGTATGCTGCAGTAACACCAACATCTGTACCGCTATAGTCTGTTTACATCATGTACACAGGAGAGGGGGCAGAGTGCCATTTTTCACACACACATATACAGTATACCTGTATATCACTTAATGTACCTATATATATACTAAAACTAGTATTTATTTATATGTCTGCTAGGTAATTAATTAAACCAGCTATGTCTGTATATACATTACTGTACATGTATCAAACTGAGTTTGATAAATATATTATGGTATGTATATCTGTGCATTATCTAACAGCAGTATCTTAACATCAATCTTTACACAAAGTGTAGGAGTTTAGGAAGTGCTGGTTCTGGTATATTTTCACTGATACTGCTAGACATACACTACATATACAGTAGGGTATACCTATTGGATGTAAATTTTCAAGTCTGAGCAAGAGACACTGGGAGATGTATGTATGTTAGACTTAGTATGAAGAGTTCATTTAAGATGTACTGGTAGACATACATGTACTGTTTCTAAACATTTTCTTCAGGTTGGTAAGTATGGATTATGAGAAGTTCTTTTTACACAAACAGTAACATTTTCTATGTGACGTTTCGGTGACTAGTACGATATGTACACTGTCACCTTCATAAGACAAATGACCAGTGAAGCGTATGCACACAAATGTGTAAAATGTGTACGAGTTGTCCATAAAATCGATGTCGATTTCGGCTATGCTGGAAACGTATGTACAAAAGTTGTTATATATGTACCGAAATGACTCAATTCAGCTACGTTTTATTGGTTTTGTAAAAAGAACTTCTCATAATACATGTACTGTGTATACCATAATAATTATGTTGGTTGCACATTTTGGATGTCGAGTCTGAAGAGCTAAACTGTAATTCTAAATATTTATGATTGATGTGTGTCGTAATGGATCTGTGCGACAACTTTCAGGGGTCAAGAAAATAAATCAATTTCACGAGCCACAGTGCACTTGCATTGTCAAGTGACAACTTGAAAACACTCGACACTTTCAAAGTGTTTTATACTGGTTATTGTCATAGGAATTTCATTCTAACCTACAGATTACTGGTATCAATCAGAAATTAAATACTTGATGACATCAGATTATAAAAATTCTGAGTACAGTTTTCACTTGTCACATACATGTATAACTATCCATGGTTATAGAATTTGAAATATTTTGATAAAATTGTGTTGTTATCGCTTTATTATTCGATACTTGTAATATTTTGAAACTATTTCTTTAATAAATGTTTCTGTGTGAAACGCTGGCCATTTCTACTGAAAAAGAGTGCATTATGTATCAGTTGTTTTCTTATGACCCTGCTTTAGTTTTGACACAGTCCCAGGGTGTGGAGACCTCACTGATATGTTAATCCCAGAGTCACAGTGGTGGTGGGGATTTACCAACACCTTTGTGATGTAGCCAGGGGGGCTAAGAATGAATTATATAAGACTTCACTTACACGTCATGTACTTGTGTTTATGTTTTAGGGGGTTCAGTCCAAGGGTGTGGTTGGAGAAACTATACTGACATTGTTTATGGTAAAGGTATTTCAGTCCCAGGGTGTGATGGGAGATACTTTTACTAACACGTTTGTTAATGGTAAAGGTATTTCAGTCCCAGGGTGTGATGGGGAGATACTTTTACTAACACGTTTGTTAATGGTAAAGGTATTTCAGTCCCAGGGTGTGATGGGGAGATACTTTTACTAACACGTTTGTTAATGGTAAAGGTATTTCAGTCCCAGGGTGTGATGGGGAGATACTTTTACTAACACGTTTGTTAATGGTAAAGGTATTTCAGTCCCAGGGTGTGATGGGGAGATACTTTTACTAACACGTTTGTTAATGGTAAAGGTATTTCAGTCCCAGGGTGTGATGGGGAGATACTTTTACTAACACGTTTGTTAATGGTAAAGGTATTTCAGTCCCAGGGTGTGATGGGGAGATACTTTTACTAACACGTTTGTTAATGGTAAAGGTATTTCAGTCCCAGGGTGTGATGGGGAGATACTTTTACTAACACGTTTGTTAATGGTAAAGGTATTTCAGTCCCAGGGTGTGATGGGGAGATACTTTTACTAACACGTTTGTTAATGGTAAAGGTATTTCAGTCCCAGGGTGTGATGGGGAGATACTTTTACTAACACGTTTGTTAATGGTAAAGGTATTTCAGTCCCAGGGTGTGATGGGGAGATACTTTTACTAACACGTTTGTTAATGGTAAAGGTATTTCAGTCCCAGGGTGTGATGGGGAGATACTTTTACTAACACGTTTGTTAATGGTAAAGGTATTTCAGTCCCAGGGTGTGATGGGGAGATACTTTTACTAACACGTTTGTTAATGGTAAAGGTATTTCAGTCCCAGGGTGTGATGGGGAGATACTTTTACTAACACGTTTGTTAATGGTAAAGGTATTTCAGTCCCAGGGTGTGATGGGGAGATACTTTTACTAACACGTTTGTTAATGGTAAAGGTATTTTAGTCCCAGGGTGTGATGGGAGATACTTTACTAACATGTTTGTTAATGGTAAAGGTATTTCAGTCCCAGGGTGTGATGGGAGATACTTTTACTAACACGTTTGTTAATGGTAAAGGTATTTCAGTCCCAGGGTGTGATGGGAGATACTTTTACTAACACGTTTGTTAATGGTAAAGGTATTTCAGTCCCAGGGTGTGATGGGAGATACTTTTACTAACACGTTTGTTAATGGTAAAGGTATTTCAGTCCCAGGGTGTGATGGGAGATACTTTTACTAACACGTTTGTTAATGGTAAAGGTATTTCAGTCCCAGGGTGTGATGGGAGATACTTTTACTAACACGTTTGTTAATGGTAAAGGTATTTCAGTCCCAGGGTGTGATGGGAGATACTTTACTAACATGTTTGTTAATGGTAAAGGTAGTTCAGTGTGGTCTGAGAAACTTTACTGACACATTTGTTTATTTTGTAAGGGGGTCTCTGTTCCGAAGTGCCACTTATACTGACACCGTTGTTTGTATTTCAGGGTGTCCAGTCCCAGGGTGTGGTGAGCAAGAAATTTACTTACAATATTGTTTGTGTTGTAGGGTGTCCAGTCCCAGAGAGTGGTTGGTGAGAATTTCCTAACAATGTTGTTTGTGTTGTAGGGGGTCCAATCCCAGGGTGTGGCTGATGAGAACTTATTTTTACCGTTAATGTTGTTTGTGTTGGAAGGGGTCCAGTCCCAGGGTGTGGTTGATGAGAACTTATTTTTACCGTTTATGTTGTTTGTTTTGTAGGGGTCCAGTCCCAGGGTGTGGTTTGTGAGAACTTATTTTTACTGTTAATGTTGTTTGTGTTGTAGGGAGTCCAGTCCCAAGGTGTGGTTCGTGAGAACTTATTTTTACCGTTTATGTTGTTTGTGTTGTAGGGGGTCCAGTCCCAAGGTGTGGTTGGTGAGAACTTATTTTTATCGTTAATGTTGTTTGTGTTGTAGGGGATCCAGTCCCAAGGTGTGGTTGATGAGAACTTATTTTTACCGTTTATGTTGTTTGTGTTGTAGGGGGTCCAGTCCCAGGGTGTGGTGGGTGATACTGTCTCACCTGGAATGAAGGCCACTCCTCCTGTCCAGCATCTAAACAAGAGCATATCTCTTGGTAGCATCCACAACGACTCATCTGATGGAGCAATTGTTGACCAAGATGACATCATCAACCTCACACATAATGTCAAGCGATTCTCAGATGGCCTGGCCAGACTCAAGGGAGTGTTTGGAGAGTGTTCAGGTAAAATGTAATGTTTGTTACCTTTATATAAATTAAACTAGGTCCTCATAGCAGTGTTAATATCATATGTCATTCTAGATGTGCCGTCTGTAGAGAAGAGTAGTAGGGGAACATGTATGTAACTACATGTACACTATTAAAGTACACTATTATCCTCATTTGTTCTGCTATTCATATGCCCTTGCTGTGATGAAAGGCTATCAAATGTGTTCAAATGTATGACCTGACTACATTCAAGGTCACAGGGGTCAAGTGTTCTAAAACCTTCAAACGACTTCCTACAGTAACCATGATAATCTATTTTGATGATTAGCCAGTTGCTTGCTGAAATGAATAGATATCAAATTTGTTTATATAAATTACGTTGACTCATAGGCCAGAGGGGTCTAGAATGCCGTAATCTTCAAACAATGAAAGTTCTGAAAAAAGTTCTTCTCAAAAATCATGAAGCTTAGAGTTATGATATTTGGCCTGTAGCTTACTGAGATGAAATGTTATTAATGATGTTCAAATGAATGAATTTGACCCATATCGAGGCACTTGGGTCATATGTGGTAAAATCTTTAAATATAGAGTTGTAATATATAATTGGTAAAAGCTGTTAATGAATCACGTCAAAATGTATTACAATCTTGATCGACTCTTTAGGTCATGGTGGTTTATTGGGTTATATTCTTCAAACAACTTCTTCTAATAAACCATGAGGCCTAGCAATGGTATTCGCTCTATAAGGTATCAGGAAGATAGGCTATCTTGTATATTCAAATAAAATACCTTGACCCATATACCTGGCCTCCTAATTTTTGAAGAAGAAAAAAATGAAAATATTAATTATTAAATATAGATATGAGAGTATAATGTTAGATAACTTTTCCCACAGAATCTGGAGACGAACTGCGACACAGAACCCATGAGAGACTGGGTGAAGTGCTATACACCTTGAAAAATATCTTACAGTCCTACCCCATCCTTCAATCTACTGAACTGTTTGCTGCATCAGGTGCTCTCATCTCCAAGGTCAAAAGTAGGTACTTTCATGGTGAAAGTAATTACATGTCATTGATTCTACTTTATAGTTAACACTTCAACCATTTTATCCTGTATATATGCCATTGGTCTCATTTTCAAAACCAGTTGTAATTCAAGGGTAAGACCTAGCTCTGATTAACCGAAGTCTTAGCCTTGACCTCAACGATACACTCATTCACCCCTACATATTTAAATTGGACTTGCCCAGTCTTTGATTTGGTAAGGTTAAAATGTGTCTTTAAGGGTGAATGGATTATGGTAGTTTTTTGTTAGGTGATACCATTAACTTAATTAGCTTTCTTAAAAGGCTTTCACTTCAAATTGGATGTTTTACAGTGCACTAAATATCAACCTGTTATGGGTATTGAATTTATATATTTATATAAGAACATGTAAGATTTGAATATAGAATTGTGATATACACCCAAAACCATGTTTTAAACATTCATTGAATCCTTTTGCTGTACTTTCAGGTTTTGACTATGTTGGAACTTCATCTTCATCAGCAGAACTCCATTTTTCTGAGGCTATAGACCAGTTGGCTTTGGTATTCAGTAGTAGGTATGTACCAGGTACATGAGCCCTGGGTATACCGAAACGTGCAGGTCTGTTAATTAGGAATTACTTGTCTGGGGTATTATGAGTGCTTATACCATGTTAGAACGTCTTCCAGGAGTTAGCAGTCTGAGCTGTACATATCAATGTAGAACTTCCTTCCAGGAGTTACCTGTCTGGGGTATTATGAGTCCATCTACCATGTTAGAATGTTCTTCCAGGAATTAACAGTCTGGGTTTCACAGATCAATGGAGAACGTTCTACCAGGGATTGCCAATCATGACTTCATGTCGAATGTTCCGCCATTGATCACTGGATTAGTTTTGGTCGCAAAACTATTCCAGAGAATTTTGCTATCTGTACAATTCTCAGGAGCTTAGAAACCAGGAAATCAGGATAAACTATGTATACTGCTCTATACGCTACTGGCTCAGAAAGACTAGCCAACTATGTCACAGCCTTATTTCAATATACATGTATTGCGATTAACATTATTCATACTAGATATATACAAAACACTTTTCTTTTTACGATTTGGCATACAAGACGGCTGACACTGCCTCTGATTAGTCGAAATTTAGTTTTTGAGACTTCTGTATTGGCCCCTTTTACATTAAGAACTTGTTCTTGAATTGATTCTGTTGTTTAAGTTTGTTTCATTATTTGCCAGTGTGTCTGAGTACTTGATGGGTGATCAAGATACATCGTTTCAAGAGAAAACAGAAAAGGCAAAGGTAAGAATAGCTTTGTCGATGATATTCACATATTAAATTGATATGATCAAAGGTGATAATCCTTTTAAAAAGGTTATACAATACATGTACAATGAATTTGAATATACTTTTTTCATCATTAGTCTTTCTTCGAATGAAAAAAGTGAAAGGTTTTAACGTTTTTTACAGAAACATGCAGATATTGAATCAATTTAATCCTGTGTTGCATTGCAAGATATAGAAAATGTATACATGTTCTGTATGGCACTGATACTATTACCGTATTTTACCAGTGATAAGCACAAGCCTGGTAATAAACCCATCCACATGTTAAACTAACCAGCTGTGCTTGTGTATATTTTCAGTCTTACGATGGCCTAGCTTCCACTCCAAACAGAACTGAAGAAGTGCCAGATGCAGACGATAGTTCTAAATGTAAGTCGTTATTGCTACACTGAAACCATTCTAGGTAAAAATCCTGGTAAATAGAAACTACTTCAGGGAAAATAAAACATTGCCGAGGAAACAGAAACAACTTCATGTATGCAAGTACTAATACCTTTACAGGAAGTTATAAGCCGACTGTAGTAAACTGACTCTACTTCAACTATGTTGAAGACTCACCTGTATTATATCTTAGCTCCAATCATGCTGCTGTACATGAATTGCGATACAAAACTGCTGTAAAACAACGCTTATTTGCATGTAGATTTTATTTTGCTATAAATACTACCTGAAAAAGCACGAGAAATATGAACTTCACTAATTAATTTCCATTAAACTGGTAAAGGGTTATTATTAGTCTTATAAACACATTTAATGGACTGAAACAAATGTAAGTGAAGGTGAATCGGCATAGATAGCTAAGTCAAGTTCATTGCCTGTCAGATCAAGTATCAACTTTGCCAATTGTCTTATGTTTTCAGAAAATGATAAAAAAAATATACAATTTATGAAATTTGGTTTGCCTTATTTTGCAGCCGTTGCAGTCCTGACCTCTGAAAGTGTAGACAGTTGTCTTTGTGAACTTCAGGCAGGGGTGGATGTAGCACTACAGCGGGCCAAGGTCTGGTCCAAGTACATGAAAGATGTCACATCGTACATAGAACGCAAAGCTCAACTAGGTACAGGCCATTTCAAATACTTGTTATTTCTTGATTTTTCTTTAAGAAATAGTTAAAAAAATACTAGTTGATTCTAGACTTATCATACTTTGTTTCTTTTTCTATTTTGTAGAGACAGACTACTCCAAGAATCTTGGGCGTCTGGCACAGACCATGAAGCCGATTTTAACAGAGGAGGTTTGTAGGAAGATCAACCTGTCCTCTCTCAATTACTGACATAACTCTTTTTTTTATAAGCTTATGTAAAATTGCATAGATAGATATGCTGTAATATAAATTATATCTGAGACGTATTCTTTGCTAATTATGTTGGAACTGATACAAAAATCAAAATTTCATAGAAGTATCTGGCTTTCGTTTTATATGCAGATATTACATTTAAAACATAAAAACAGTTCTTTGAATTGAATATTAGAAACCAATGTCTCTAAAATGGAAGTTATAAAAAAAATCCAAAAGTTTCATTGGAAAGTGTGTTTTGAAATGAAAACAAATGGGTATCATATATATGGTATAGTTGATAAAACAAAAAACAAAAAAATGGATTTTTCCTTGTGTTATATGTTGGAGATACTTGTGCAAAATTACTCATCTAAGGATTGTAATTTGGTGTACAAATCATTTATTTTACGTCAAAATCACTAGGGGAAATCTTCTACTGGTAATGTTACAGTGAATTCCAATTAAATGGCACCAGTATTTTGGAAGCCGTAATAATTCCAACAGTATCTGATTTTATACACCATCATATCAGAAGCTTTAAATTTTAAATCATATTAATATTTATATATGACTGCCACAATGACGACAGCCAGGCTAGAAACATAATCTTGTGTGAATCATTTCATTGCAGGCTTTCTTACCTCTCCAGTCTGTCTACTGTACAGTTCTACAACAGGTAAGATGTACTATATTTACCTGGGGAAATTTGTTATTCGGTGTGGAGTAAAACACCCAGCTGGATTACTGCTACAGTATAGTCAAAGTGTTGGTTTAAAGGACGGTCACTGTTTAAAGCTCTCTTCTGCCCTCTTGATAAACAATGTTATGTTAACGTTTCAGTTTAATTTATTGTCATATGTCTTGCGACTACAGGGGCTGAAAAATATCAATTTTAGTGGGTTTTTTTCATTATTCTGAATGTCTTTCTTAGTGAATTATCTGTTTCTTTACTCTCTTGAAGGACAAAGATTACGCAAGTACTTGCCAAGCTACACAAACTTTATTACAAGCATCCAAATTTGTTGAGGTAAGAAATTTATTAAATTGATGATCATTTACTGTATACAGGGAAACTTTCTCTCTGTTAAATGTTCGCCATTTGCCGATAAAATTCATGTTCGCCCTTCACATGAAATTACTATATTGTATGTTGTATACAAGTTTTCGTTGTAATGAAAATTCATCCTCATTGGGGAGGGCGAAAAAAGGTGAAAGTTTTACTACGGTGAATATTTCCCAGTGTACAGTAATACAACAGAAACGTCAATCATCTTGTTACTTATATAATTTGTAAATCAGAATTTCCAAAATAATTTGATCCTGTCAAGATATTTTTGAAATGACAAATTGTTTGTATTAATCACCTGTGTCACTGCTGACATTCAGGGGGTGCTGATCATAATACAATGTCTGTTTTCTGTCCTTAGCCATTAACTGCCAGGAGATTAGAACATGACAAAGAGCGAAAAACCATCAAAGACTCCTGGCTGAAGGAAGTGAAGAGAATGGTAGGGTCTAAGTACATCATTGAATGAGTTGTGATAGGAGGTGGTGGTGTATGAATCATGTTAATTAACTAAGACAAAAATGTTTTGAAATTGATATGCAGTACCACTTGTCAGAAAAATGTTGTATACAATTAGCAAAGCAATTACTTAAACGTTACAGTTATTTTGTTCTAAAGGTGTTTCATTGAAATAGTTCAGATGAATTTGAGCATACTTTCTAATAAATCACACTGTCAAATTCAGATTTTAGTCTAAAGAATAGTTGGGGTAATTCCTGTAGGAACTCTATCTAAAACTCTATTGTTATAAATCTCTGATTTAGATAGAGTTCCTGCAGGAATTAGGGTAGACCCTGTAAAATTTGGAAGTCTGGTTTAGTCAGCCTACACTCTAGTGTAATAATCCATTGAAAGTCATCTTGTATAAAAAAAAAAAAAAAGTGTTTAAAATGAAACAGGATTGATAAACTACCTGTTTTAAATGACAGCAAGATGCAGTGCACAGTCTGCGGAAGGCACAGTCCCTGTATGTGACACGGCAACAAGAGTATGAGAAGGTACGAGAACAGGCCAACAAACTGGAGGCAGACATGTTGTCACAGAGCAGTAGTGGTATTAGCGCCCTCAATAAGGTGGACAAGCGGCGTAAACTGGAGGAGGAAGCCATGCACAAGGTTATTGAATTACTTAATTATAAAGATATTCATGAAGCTCATTTTGTGCCTCGTTTATACATCAGAGAATAGTTCTGTGCCATCTTGTACTGTTTCTATCATTGTAGGAATTGTTATTAGGGCCCCGTATCGGAGATACGGGTGCCTTATAGTAATTACTCTGTGTGTCTGTCTGTCTGTCCGTCCACAAATTTTGTTCCTAGCTGATAACTTTTGTATTTATTGACCGATGTACATGAAACTTGATCAAGATGTTCAGTTCATAAAAATACACTTTAAGGTAAAAAGTAAAGGTCAAAGGTCAAGGTCATTAGAATCAAAGGTGAAGGTCAAATTTTGCATATTTTCACTGATGAACATTTTGTTATGACATGATGAAGCAAAGTTGATCAGAATTAAACAACGAGTCAACTTACCAAAGGTCAGGGTCATGCGGTCAAAGGTCAAGGTTAAATTTTGCATCTTTTCACTGGTGAACATTTCGCTATGATACTTTGAAGCAATGTTGCTCAGAATTAAACAAGGAGTCAACTGACCAAAGATCAAGGTCATTTGGTCAAAGGTCAAGGTTAAATTTTGTACCTTTTCCCTGATGAACATTTTGTTATGACAATATGAAGCAATGTTGTTCAGAACTTAACACAGAGTGATCAACTGACCTTAGTTCCAGGTTACTTGGTCCAAAGGGTCAAGGTCAAGTTTTGTATTTTTCACTGATGAACATTTTGTTATGATATTAAGAAGCAAAGTTGGTCAGAATTAAAGAATAAGTCAACTGACCAAAGATCAGGGTCACTGGGTTAATGATCAAGGTCATTTGTGTCCAAAGGTCAAAGACAAAGTGGATCTCTGACTTTGACCCTGGCTCTTGATGGAAGAGGTATATAAGGTGAAATTAAACAAATCAAAGCTAACAAATGAGTATTGCACCGGTAATTACATTTCTGTTAGCCCAGCAAATATGGAGGTGGAAGGAAACACATCACATCATAGTACATGTAAAATGTATATTTTGCTTCCTTGCGATTCTTTTTGAAGTCCAAATGTCAAACATCAAGCTCAGCTATATGGGCAGATTGCTTCTTGATGATTATGGGGGATATAATTGCCACAAGACGGGGCCCTTACTGACCTGTCAGTGTTCTAGTTTCAAAAGTGTTTACACTTTTATTTAGATTCCAACTTAATCTTGTTATTACAGGCTGCGGAGGCTGAGACAACATACAAGGCATGTGTAGCAGAGGCGAACTGTAGGCAGCAGGAACTAGAAAAGACTAAGGTACTCATTAGGAGTGTCATCTCATTCTTACTAGATCATTTACATATTGGAAATTGCTCAAGACTAGTAGATGTTCTCCTTTTATAATTGAAATAGACAAATAAGACATAAAATTGATAAAAAATTATATCCATGAGGCCAATATCTGAATAATTTTGTAAAAGATATTCACATTAAGATTTTGCACTTGTTTTACAGGCGGACTTGCTAGCCAGGATACGAGATCAGATTTACCAATGTGATCAAGTTATAAAACTGGTAAGCTCACCATTCATGTTAGTTCTTAAGAAACATTCAATAAATTTCTGGAAATGAATCAAATGAGACTTGTTTAAACGAGGTCACATATGAAAATGTTTATAAATATTTATTTTTTTGCAGGCTACTATAGAATACTTCCACCTCCTACACACAGTCTCAACCCCCATACCTATACAGGTAAGATCAGATTGGCTCTGACAGGTAATCAATCTCACCTGTAATCACCAGGTGTTGTCACTATAACCAATAAGCAATAGAAACACTTATTCAATGTGTAACAAGAACTTTTCATATAACCAATATATTTCATTCAAACTTCCAAAATGGGAAATCGTAAATAAGAAGAAACACAATGAATTATGTCGGAAACATGCTCAGTGAAATATTAAAGGCTTCATCTTACGGCTTTATTAAACTGTAATTAGTCACTTTATGTTGCAAATATGTCTCCTTGCAAAATAACACTAAAGTAATCTTTAAACCATGAAAATAGATTAACAGTACGTGCAGTACATTGAGACAAGTTGTTGAGAGTTTGTGTTGTGTACTTACAGTATCACACGCTGTCAGAAACAACGAAGCAGTATGAGTGCGGGGTGCAGTTTCAGGAGTTTGTCAAACGCCTGCCAGTCAATGCCAGCAACACAACCAACACAGAACCATTTGCGTTTGAACCTTTCTACACAACAAGGTAAGACCACTACAATCTGTTAGGTGTTGAGGCAGGGTTAGCATAACTGAAAAATAACCAAATTTGATGATAAGTTCACACTTACCTTTCCGAGTTTGAAGTGAAGAACTTTGATTGAGATCTGTTTTCAGTGCTCTCCTTTTATTGCCACCTTTCATTATTCAACTTTCAAGCATCATGGCTACAAATGTTAAATTCCGAAAATATGTTTGTCGCTGATGTCACAAAGTGATAATGCTGGTGTTAACGAACATCGGTGGATGATTTAAACAGTTGTGTATTTTGGCTGAAATATGGTGTGTGCCTTTTAGGTCCGTTAAACAGACCCATCCCCAATTGAAAATGGGCTCCATTCCCCCCCCCCCCCCCCCCCCCCCCCATTTAACTTCAGATAAATGATCAATCTAAACAAATGTTTGACTTTTTAGGTAATTATTGAATCGCAAAATTTGTATGCCCCTGCCATAAAATAAGGGGGCATATAGTGTTGCCCATGCCTGTCCCATCCCGTGATCAAAGTGGTTGTAACTATTTATAGAACAGCAAACACTGAAAATAATTTCACATGGTGACAGGGGGCATTCATGTCTTACAGACATTTTCTAGTTGATATTTAAAACATTCTTAACGTGATTAATTGTAGCTGCTGTTACCTTTGTTAAGCTTATAACAAGTGAGGTAGTGCGTCACTACATTTGAAATATGTGGTCAATTTGATATTCAGTGATATTTCTGGTATTTACTGTAGCCTGTAACAATTTGAATTGAGTGTCGATATTGCATTGTTACAGGGAGATTGATAGCAGGAAAACAAGTACACAATCAACAGGATCCTCAGGGCCTCAGTCACAGGAGGGCTCACCTCAGCTTACTTCCCCTCGCAAAGGTACCGGTATGTAAAAAGTTTCGAGCCTCAGTCACAGGAGGGCTCACCTCAGCTTATTTGCCCTAGCAAAGGTACTGGTGTGCAAACAGTTTCAAGTCTCAGTCACAGGAGGGCTCACCTCAGCTTACTTCCCCTCGCAAAGGTACCGGTATGTAAACAGTTTCGAGCCTCAGTCACAGGAGGGCTCACCTCAGCTAACTTCCCCTCGCAAAGATACCGGTATGTAAACACTTTCAAGCCTCAGTCACAGGAGGGCTCACCTCAGCTTACTTCTCCTAGCAAAGGTACCGGTGTTAACACTTTCAAGCCTCAGTCACAAGAGGGCTCACCTCAGCTTACTTCCCCTCGCAAAGGTACCGGTATGTAAACAGTTTCAAGCCTCGGTCACAGGAGGGCTCACCTCAGCTTATTTGCCCTAGCAAAGGTACCGGTATGTAAACACTTTCAAGCCTCAGTCACAGGAGGGCTCACCTCAGCTTACTTCCCCTAGCAAAGGTACTGGTATGTAAACACTTTCAAGTCTCAGTCACAGGAGGGCTCACCTCAGCTTATTTGCCCTAGCAAAGGTACCGGTATGTAAACACTTTCAAGCCTCAGTCACAGGAGAGCTCACCTCAGCTTCCTTCCCCTCGCAAAGATACCGGTATGTAAACACTTTCGAGCCTCAGTCACAGGAGAGCTCCCCTCAGCTTATTTGCCCTGGCAAAGGTACCGGTAGGTAAACACTTTCAAGTCTCAGTCACAGGAGGTCTCACCTCAGCTTATTTGCCCTGGCAAAGGTACCGGTATGGAAACAGTTTCGAGCCTCAGTCACAGGAGAGCGCCCCTCAGCTTACTTCCCCACGCAAAGGTACCGGTACGCCAACACTTTCAAGCCTCCGTCACAGGAGGGCTCACCTCAGCTTACTTCCCCTAGCAAAGGTACCGGTATGTAAACACTTTTAAGCCTCAGTCACAGGAGGGCTCACCTCAGCTTACTTCCCCTCGCAAAGGTACCGGTATGTAAACAGTTTCGAGTCTCAGTCACAGGAAGGCTCACCTCAGCTTACTTCCCCTCGCAAAGGTACCGGTGTGTAAACACGTTCAAGCCTCAGTCACAGGAGGGCTCACCTCAGCTTACTTCCCCTCGCAAAGGTACCGGTATGTAAACAGTTTCGAGCCTCAGTCACAGGAGGACTTACCTCAGCTTACTTCCCCTAGCAGAGGTACCGGTATGTAAACACTTTCAAGCCTCAGTCACAGGAGGGCTCACCTCAGCTTACCTCCCCTCACAAGGTCAAGGCCTTAAGGCACTTGTCACAGAAAAACCCTCACCTTTCCTTCTTCCCTTCTTAAAATAGGTAACACTTTCAAGTTCGTGTCTTTTGAATACCTTTCACCCCAAAAGTCACATTTGATTCTTACTTAGTCAAAGACTGGGCTAGTCTAGTTTAAATATGTAGGGCCAGGGGTTATACATAAAGGTAGCCATTATAAGCTAGTAACTAAACAAAGAACACTCTTTTTCGAAAATCCTCCAGATTTACTTATTAGATTACCATTTACAAAATTATTTGTCCATAATAGAGATTTACTAATGTTGTAAATTGTTTCAGACCGGTACCGTGCACCTGTGAAGGCATGGAGTCCTGGCCTTGTGATGGGAAGTGACACAGACAGTGCCAGTGGTAGCAGTAAGTCTGTTGACTCCTCCCCCAGCAGTAGTCCCCACCCCACGGGCCACAGGAAACTTGTGGCTGCGGGGTCACTGGAAGGACTAGATGATAGGGAGGACACTGATCAACACAGTAAGATTGTGTTTTAAAGTTTGTTTGTGTTTTAACAACTTGTGTATTTCATTTGTCAGGTATCCTGAAGCCTTTGTTTATTCCAGAGGCTTTATTCAGTACATTTTGGTTAAAACGATAAAGGATAAAATTTGAATTGTCTTTTGTTCTAGAAACACTCTTTGTTTGTATTGTAGGGGATTTACTGTCACTACCGGGAGCTGATGGTGGAGACCTTCGTGGTATACTGAAGGTATGTGTACGTCTTATCATAAATACAAAAGTCTTGTACCTTCGTGGTATACTGAGGGTATGTGTACATCTTATCATAATTATAAAAGTCTTGTATGGCAGTTCAGCACTAACATATCCACAGAGAGGTTCAGTGACATCATTTTTAGTATTTTTATACGCCTGTCAAATTTGACGGAAGTATTATGGTATGGAGTTGTCCGTCTGGCTGGCTGTCCATCCGGTGTAAACTTTTGTTTGTTCGACAATCTCCTCCTACATTTTTCGACTTATCTCTTTGAAACTTGGTATACATTATGATCATGATATGAAGTTGTGTCTCCCTTAAAAGAATTTTGATTCAACAATTTTTGCAAAAGTTATTGCCCTCTGTTTATTTCAGTATTTGTTTTTTGTCCGGCAATCTCCTCCTACATTTTTCAACGGATATCTTTGAAACTTGGTATACATTATAATCATGAAATGAAGTTGTGTCTCCCTTAAAAGTATTTGATTTTTTGTCTGGAGATTTTCTTCTACATTTTTTTATAGCATTTCAGCTAACCACTCTTAGAATGATGCAGATCTTATTTCAATGAAGGAAAAGTATATAACACTATATGGCATTCGACGGGCGTATATTGTTCTGCCCCACAGTACTCTTATTTAGTATAGGGGGGCTAATGTAGTCACTCTGGCGTCGGCATCGGCGTCCCACCTTCTGAGGTTAAAGTTAAATTACTAATAGGCGAGCTATGCTGTTCTCGAGCAGATTGGATATGACTCGCGTCTTAGCCATGCGTCTTTGTTCTATCACTTTGTCTGCTGCATCTTTACAGCCCCATGGTCGGCGGAGGAATACGACATTTGGTGTGGACTTCCAGGAACAAGTGGAACACTGTAGATCGGCTGTACCTCCTATCATCACCAAGTGCTTGAAAGAAATTGAGAGAAGGGGTCTTCATCAAGAGGTAAGATTATCACTACTAAATAACAAAAGAACCAACCCAAGTTCATTGTTATAATGTGGCCATTAAGTGGGAAGGCTATTGCATACCATGCATTGTCCTTGTTTTTCTGTCATACAATTTTGTTTTACTGCGCCACCTTCATTTTGCATTTTAATGAGACAAAACTTTCTACTTTTATGGAGTACACCAATATCTGGAAAGTATTTGTGTTTCATAGTCATAAATCCAAGGTCAAGGTCACTTGCTTTAAGTAAGAAATCTTTTGTCACATCAAAATAATTTTAAATGATAATATATTCTATTATTTTGTTGCGACAACACTTTAAGACGGTCAGTGATGCTGTTACTATAACTGGTGTCATTATATTACGGGCATTATATTTCTGTTTAGAATGAAAATTAATACAGCACAAATAAGAACCAGGGTCAAGTTCACTATTACTTTCAATAGAAACTCTTTGTCATCACCATACTGGCTCCATTTTTCGTCTGATTTAGATGAAACTTTTGATCAATATTGAGAACACAAATACCTGATTGAGTTTGCACGAGATAAATATCAAAATTATTTTCACTAGTAAAAATATTGTGGTAAGATGTGTTTGTTTGTCATTATCCAGGGTATTTATCGGAAATCAGGGGTAAAAAGTAAAGTGGAAGGTCTGTGCCAGCGCTTTGAGAAGGACCCAGACTCTGTTGATCTCAACGAGGAAAATCATAATGTTATCTCTAATGTATTAAAGCTTTATCTCCGACAGGTGAGTCCTTTGACAGATTTTGAATATGAAAGCACCAAGAATTGTCCTTTTCCTTCAAGAATTTTTGGATATTTTCATGGGATTGAATATGTCCTTGATCTTTACTTGTCATATAAACAAAACAAAACAAATGTTGAATAAGAAATTTATCCTATTGATGACTCAAAAATATGTAATATTTTAATAAAGTAATGGTGAAACAGTAGTTGATCACTGAAAGCAAGTGTTTCTACTTTTGAATAATTTCGATTGGGGTTGAATAGTTTCTAATACATGTAATATTTATTTTGTTTTTCAGTTGCCAGAACCATTGTTAACGTTTAAAAGCTACCAATTTTTTATTAGAATTGCCAAGGTAAGAAGCTCTGTAGATAGGTTACTGGTAATGAAGGTTTGCTTCCTTTAAAAAATAATATGGTAGCATTATAAGCTGTTTAGATACCATCATTGTCTAACACAATTATCAATGCTCTTAATTTCATAATTAATATATAGATGGTAACTTAATGAAGTCAAAATAGCTTAATAAACACACCACAGCTGTCTCTATTGGCTGAGAGTTTTAACACTTAAGTTTTGTAAAGTCTAGTTCTTCCCCCCAAAACCTTTACGTTGTACCTAATTATGTATGTCCGTAAGACATGTCATACTGTGGTAAATTTGTGTAAACATGTGTGACTTTGAATACCTTTGCCTTTGTCTGATACACCTGTGACTTTGTTATGCCCCCGACATAAATTGAAGGGGGGGCATATAGTATTGCCCATGTCCGTCCCGTCCAATCCATGAGCGGGGCATTTATGTCTTTCAGACATTTTCTAATTTTATAACACCTGCGACTTTGTTTTATAACATCTGTGACTTTGTGTGATAACACCTTTGACTTTGTATTATAACATCTGCGTTTTTTATTTATAACATCTGCGACTTTGTTTGATAACATATGTGACTTGTTTGATAACACATGTGACTTTTGTTTGAAAACACTTGTGACTTTTTTTATAATGCACATGACTTTATTTGATAACACCTGTGACTTTGTTTAATAACAAATGTGACTTGTTTGATAACACCTGTGTCTTTGTTTGATAATGTGGTTTTGTTTTGATAACACCTGTGACTTTATTTCATAACACCTGTGACTTTGTTTGATAACATCTGTGACTTGTTTGATAACACATGTGACTTTTGTTTGATAACACATGTGACTTTTTTTATAACACCTATGACTTTATTTGATAACACCTGTGACTTTGTTTGATAACATGTGACTTGTTTGATAACACCTGTGACTTTGTTTGATAATGTGATTTTGTTTTGATAACACCTATGACTTCATTTGATAACACCTGTGACTTTGTTTGATAACATCTGTGACTTGTTTGATAACACCTGTGACTTTTGTTTGATAACACGAGTGAATTTGTTTTTATAACACCGGTGGCTTTTGTCTGATATTACCTGTAACTTTCTTTGATAACACCTGTGATTTTGTTTGAAAACACCAGTGACTTTATTTGATAACACCTGTGACTTTGTTTGATAACACATGTGACTTTTGTTTGATAACACCTGTGACTTTTGTTTGATAACACCTGTGACTTTTTTTATAACACCTATGACTTTATTTGATAACACCTGTGACTTTGTTTGATAACACCTGTGATTTTGTTTGAAAACACCAGTGACTTTATTTGATAACACTAGTGATTTTGTTTTTATAACACCAGTGACTTTTGTCTGAGAACACCTGTGATTTTGTTTGATAACACCAGTGACTTTCTTTGATAACACCAGTGATTTTGTTTTTATAATACAAGTGACTTTTGTCTGATAACACCAGTGACTTTTGTTTGATAACACCAGTGACTTTGTTTGATAACACCAGTGATTATGTTTTTATACACCAGTGACTTTTGTCGATTAACACCTGTGACTTTGTTTGATAACACCTATGATTTCGTTTGATAACACATGTGACTTTGTTTGATAACACCAATGACTTTTGTTTGATAACACCAGTGACTTTGTTTGATATTTCCTCCTATTTTGTTTGATAACACCAGTGACTTTGTTTGATAACACCAGTGACTTTGTTTGATAACAGCAGTGACTGTGTTTGATAACACCAGTCACTTTGTTTGATATTTCCTCCTATGTTGTTTGATAACACCAATGACTTTTGTTTGATAACACCAGCAACTTTGTTTGATAACACCAGCAACTTTGTTTGATATTTCCTCCTATGTTGTTTGATAACACCAGTGACTTTGTTTGATAACACCAGCAACTTTGTTTGACATTTCCTCCTATGTTGTTTGATAACACCAGTGACTTTGTTTGCTATTTCCTCCTATGTCGTTTGATAACACCAGTGACTTTGTTTGATAACACCAGTGACTTTGTTTGATATTTCCTCCTATGTTGTTTGATACACATGTCACTTTGTTTGATATTTCCTCCTCTGTTGTTTGATAGGACATGTGCCTTTGTTTACACATCTGTGACTTTTGATGTTTGGCTTTGTAGGAACATATGGCAGGATTATTTGACCTTGAGGAAACAGTCAATCATCTAGCAGATGTTGTATCCAAGTTGCCATACTCAAATTTTAAAACTTCAGCAATAATAATGCACCATTTACACAGGTGAGCTGTTTTTGTATTGGTTTATTGAAGAAAGTGAACCTGTATGTTGAATCCCTGTATTTGCTGTGACTTCTTTTCTACTAAACTACTATTGATTGAAATCATGTTAGCAGAATTTAGTACTATTTCTATAAAGAAATAACCTTTCTCACACAATTATTTTCTTCTGTTTATATTTTATATATAAAAAAAATCAGCAGTTTTAAAACATTTGAAAATATTGATACAAAAACAAATCATGAAGCATGAATACAATCTGTTGATGTTATTTCCAGAATTGCCTCGAACTTCAGTACAAATCAGATGACATCCAGCAATCTGGGCATTGTGTTTGGTCCAACCTTACTCCGTCCACTGTAAGTTCTCTCTCACTTCTCCTTCAAAAATAATCTAATGAAGGGAAAGGTTCCTAATGTCCTGATGGAGAAGAATATAATCCTGTTTTTATTGGTATAAAACATCTTGTCGTTTTGGTATTGGTATTTGGTACATTACCTGCCGAAATTTACACTCCAGTTTTGGTCATCTGAGCAAAGCTTGATGACGTTTTCAGGTCTGTCTTCATCTGTCGTCGTCAGTCATCCATTAACAATTTACAGTTTTAACTTTTTCATGGGTGAAAAGGTCACAAGGTGCTGAATCTAATTGTAATTTTTGTTTCCCCTTGGTCATCCATTTGAGGGGGTGGGGGGAGATGGAAGGAAGTTGTTCTCTATTGTTTAATAGGGAAATATCAAATTGGGGTATAGTTTTTCCATAGGTAGGCAGTTAGATGGTATGCAAACTGGTACCTGAACCATCCTTGGAACCTAAGGGGAGGGGTCGAAGGGGGGAAAATAAGCTAAAATATTGAAATATTCTTCAGACCCAGATTTCTTAGTATCATATTATACTGTATACCAGAAAATTAGTCAAAGTTCAACTTTCTCCATTTTAGCACTAATGAGGGCAAATTTATCATCAGAGCCAACAATAGTAAACAATAGTAAATAATAGTTAACAACATAATAAACAAGGAATCAAATGTGAAGGGGGAAATTAACACAGATTACAGACATTCACGTTTATAACAAAGTCATATTGTGGCCATTACCAATAATTTCATTCAGGATATTTGGAGGTACTTTGGGTTCATTCTACACACCTTTGACTGTATCATTTGTAAGAAGAGCTATTCTGTCCCTGTCTCTGCTGGACATGTGTTTTGTCAGCAGAACATTGCCCACCTGGCCGGCAGGTATTGACACCCATTTGTTACGTTACAGGGAAGGAGCCTCCTCCCTAGCCTACCTAGTAGACATGCCTCATCAGACTAAGGCAGTGGAACTACTCATCGCTAACGTCAAGGTTCGTAACTTTACATCTGGTCATAGAACTGCATTCTATCTAAGCCTTGGTGCCGATGGGTTTGTCTTTAGGTATGTTTTACACAATTGTTTTATCAAAATTTCGACTTTCAAATTGATGTGAATTTTTACATGACAGTATAACTGAAGAAATATTTGTGTTTTAGGACATATTTGGACCTGACACAGAGTACGAGTTAATACCGGGAGAAACACCTGTTGAGAAGATTGGTGATGGTAAATCTCCAAATAAAGCCACCCCTAGTCCACAGAGTACATCCACACAGCCTACGCAGTCAGAAAAACAAGATTCTACAGGTAAACTCCTCTATTCCAGGTCCAGAAGTTTGTTTACTACCCTACAGGTAAACTCCTCTATTCCAGGTCCAGAAGTTCGTTTACCACCCTACAGGTAAACTCCTCTATTCCAGGTCCAGAAGTTCGTTTAATACCCTACAGGCAAACTCCTCTATTCCAGATCCAGAAGTTTGTTTACTACCCTACAGGTAAACTCCTCTATTCCAGGTCCAGAAGTTCGTTTAATACCCTACCGGTAAACTCATCCTTCCCTGGACTAGAAAGTTTATAATCTTAAAGCAAACTCATTCTTAACAGGACTCAGACATTCTCTAAATATTATACATGTGAACCCATCCTTGTCAGGACACAGAAGTCCTCTGTATATTAAACCATTTGGGAAAATGGTCTTTTCCTCTTGCTAACATACCAGTCAGCTGGTAAACACGTTCTTATATTCTAGAGTCCACCACCTATGATACACTGATGATATAGATAGGTCACAAGTTGCATTTTAACATTAACACTGCTACTAAAATGGTTTGATATAATTCTTGCCTTATACAATGGAGAGAATCCTGCAAACGAAACGTAAGTCATGTTTCTATCCAACATAAATGGTTACGTGTACCACACAAGAAAGTGATAGCTCAGTTTAGGCATCAGAAATACTCTTTAAACGGGTAACAAAATTCGTTACTAATACTTTTATTTCACAGTTGTGAATTTGCAAGAAACTGATGCATTTTTTCCCCTTTTCAGAAAAGAAAGATAAAGGCTCAGAAAAACAACCAATGAAGTCTGAAAGGTTTGTGTTGTTTTTTTTAAATATTCAGTGGCTTATGCCTACAAATAACCTCCTGAACAAATGCTTTTAAGGGAAAATATTTTAAGGGAAAATATTTTCTATATTTTTTTTCTAATTTTGAGAAACTTCAGTGATAATGATTTGATAGAATTCAGAGTGAAACCTGCCCTCCCCACTAATGATTAGCTGATGACCATATAATAACAGAGTAGATTGTATAGGTATGATGTATTAATGAACAGTCTCTTTGAGCTTTATCATTTCTGTCATCTAGCTCCCCAGCCCCTGAGAAGCCGGTAGAACATCTGTTACAGGCAGCATCAGAAGAAGGGGAGCCCGACCAAAAGGTTGTATATACATCCCTCTTGTCTACTGTCGATATTCTGTCGCCTAGCTCTCTGTCCATCTCATACATCTGTCATCTCCACCATACAGCGCCATTGTTTACAGGCATAAACCTGTACCACTCGGTTAGACATATCATGTAACATTCTTTTCCAGAGAATTAGAAAGTTGTGTGCTGTTTTATATTGTGCGTTGTGTTTCAGTGTTGAGCATGAGTTTACTCGGTGTTTACAACTAGAGAAGACTCGCTAATCAACCAGACAGCTACAAACCTGGATAGACTATTGTGTATAACCGTGTTCATTTAGTGAAATGTGTTGGTTTTTTCTGTACATATTTTTTTATGTGTTTCTCTGTATTGTGAAAAAACCCTGATGGTTTCCGCATTTGTAACATTTTCTATTCGTTAAGCAATTATACCTTATAATTTATGTAATCAAGAGGGTGTTGGTTATTTATTGCTCAGACGTTGTTATAAATAATCAGACATGTAAAAAGTTAAGTCGTCTGCTCTTCAGTGTTACCTAATACCTTAATGGACAGCTGCAAGGTATACAACAATCATTGCCATGGTAACTAACATGCAGTATCATTAACATGTAGTAAGACTATTTGCCATGCCTGGCAACAGTAAATCATTGTTGACATGATAACCTCTTAAAACTGTTAACTACTGTATCAAGTGTTTATGATGAATGTTACCATCATGTCAGTTGTCATGGTAACCCGTCTGACATGTCCTAAGGTATCGGATACATTGTGGTCGCTTGTATTAACAGTATAACCAGTCTCTCTCCTGTCTAACCTACCAGGTGTCTGTTGTCATGGAAACGAGATGGGAGACTATGTTGTCGTGGTAACTGGGAGGCTTTGGACTGTATGACCCAGTTTCTCTGTTTCAGAGTTCAGACGCAGACTTTGTGCTGCCAGGGAGTGCCCACTGTGACAAAAAGGCTTCCCCTTCTGTCACTATCTCTGACGGTAATACCTCTATTCCTCCGCCTGCCCGCCACACTAATTATACCACCCCAGTGTGATACGTTATAGGGTTGGAATCTTGTCACATTCTAGCACATTTTGGATGGTGTAGATTTTAGTGTTTTTTGAACGACATTTCTGCTAACAAAGATAATGTTTTGAATTTTCATTGCTATAAAATGTTACCCATGTTAGAAAATGTTTTTCCATTCGTAATTAGTTTCTTGCATAATTGTTTGATAGAGAAAACAAAAACCTGGACATGTGTGCCATATTCTTTTATGAATAATCTTGAATGTATACAATTTAAACACATCTAAAGTCAGAAAGCATGAATGCTAATTAATAACTAATTTAGATCTTTACATCTAGTGGGGGTTTTTCAAACATTTTTATGATTTTGACTGTAAATTGTGGAATGTCCAGGGACACTAAAAATTTGTATAGGGATGGTACACATAAATAGTTATTGAAAAAAATGATATCTTAACATTGTCCCTATCAGATGAAAGTAAAATAAGAGCTACATGTTTGGGTTTTTAAAGTGATTACAAATTGGAATTATTGTTCATCAAAGGTCTACATTTATATAAATTTATGTAAATATATACAAATCCTTCGATCAATTTGTATCAAATTTCTAACACTGTATGTTACACTAAGGCCCATAGGACACTATAAATAGATTTTTGGAATTAAATAAAATCAGATTAAAAAAAGAAATGTTATTTTTTGACATTCACATAGAATTTGTGCTATTAAGTTTAACCCATGAACTAATACTTAATACAATTCTGCTAACAAAGGGTGTTGGTTGATTCAATAATACATATCCAATTATAAACAAAATAAGTCTGATCTGCAGTTTGTCACTTAATAAAACTGATGGACTAACAAACTTTTGATTGATGTAATTAATTGATCGTTAACAAGAGACAGCCGCATGAATAAACAGTTGTATGAATAGGGAATTGCTATTGATTGTTTATATGCACATTTATTTGTTTACCACACAAACAGTACCTTAATAAAATTAGTTTGTGAGGTGTTCTAATCACTTACATTCAAATTTGTGCGATAGAAATTGTTAATTATATCTACTTCAAAAAACTTCACTTGGAAATAGTGGTATGATTTAAAAAGCAAGACCTGTACAAATTTGTACATTATAATATTTTATTTATATTCGAATGAGTATTGTGATAGCAGACATCTTACTGGTAATACCATAAATGAACTGAACATTCAATGTTAGTGATGAGTGTTCTAAGGGTACTGGCTTGGTGGTAAACCATAATCGTATATGTTATTGCATAATTGCTAATATTGTAACTTAGTGCATTCTACATAGTTGAATAAAGGTAATTTTGATTTACATAATATAGCACCTTGCAGGGTGTTCATACAATAATGGTTAACATCAGCTGCATTGTGAGATCATCATGCATCCGCTATAACTAGCTGATTGATCAGTTATGGTATCGTACTAGTACAATTTATAATACAAGTGTCCTCTTCTCCACAATGGTGTCATAATGTCCATTTTTATTCATTGTCTCACAATCTTCCTCTTTGCATATGATTTCCAGGTAAAATATTTTGTAAGTTAATGTACATTCCTTTTAAAAAAAAAAAAATCTTGGTATGCAAAAGATAAGTATGATGCATCTTTGTCTTTAAGTAAATGATACTCTATTTTGATTAAAAATAACATTACCAATAAAGTGACGACAGACGCTACTGTGTTGACACCACTGTGAGACAGACACCTCTGCATGATGCCATGCTTAGAAGTAACATGAATAACATCTTGTATGGATGTGGCACACATTTCAGACGAAGACGAAGGAGATGTAGATATACAATCTGATGATGAATTACCCGAAACCTTGCTTCCTGACGACTCCCAACCCCCAAATACAAAACAGGCCAAACCTACTGTGTCCTGTCAGCAAGGTAGGACCGTCCTGCCCGAGGATGGAGGGCCCGGGGCATGCTGTTTTAGTCCCCACCCTTATTAGGGTTCTATAATCCTGTATATGTGCGTGAGGTTTGGTTCAGGGTGTGTAGTCGCTATATGTACAAATCTTGGTGTACGGTTTAGCATCTAAAGAACAGATACTACTGGGATTACTGTATTATTGTATGGGTTATAGGTTCTTTGTATCATTTTCTTTGTGTCATATGTATCAAAGTTCTGCATTTATAATGCTTAATATATCTATTTAATGCATAAGTTATCCACTAGAAAGTTTTTCACTATTGGATAATGTTAGGTGTGAAAAATGATTCAGGTCAAAGATTGATAATTCTTTCCAATTCTTCTCTCCTCTGAAAGTTTAGATAACCAGATTAGGACTGGTACGTGTGACTACCTGGGGAGTCCAATGCATGGCGGCCACTGGCTGTCACTGTGTGTGTGTGTTATTATACCGTTGTTTTGGAATGTTCTGTAGGTGACCCGGTCGTAGCAGAGGACCTGGACGCGCATGCTCCCATTGTTTGTACCATAGTCTCCAGTATCTAGAAAAGGTAGTCAGCTCACCTTTGTGTAGAGAATAACCTTCACCTTTCATTTAACCTTCACCTGTGTGCTGCTAGGTCACGAGTAACCATTATACAGTTTCTAGGTTACAAGTAACCACCACTATAGTGTTGCTAGGTTACAAGTAAACCATTAATATAGTCTTGCTAGGTTACAAGTAACCACCATTATAGTGTTTCAAGGTTACGGGTAACCATCATTATAGTGTTGCTAGGTTACAAGTAAACCATTAATATATTCTTGCTTGGTTACAAGTAACCACCATTGTGTTGCTTGGTTACAAGAAACCAACTATATATTGTTGCTAAGGTACAAGCAACTGTCATAATTTTTTTACATCACCAGTTTGTAAACCCGGTTACAAGCATTTTATCTTGTGACCTTCACCTTTGTTTAACATCGTAATAGCAACTTTTACCTTGCTAGCTGTGTTGTGAGCACTGCACCTTGATAATCACCATTACAGTTTGAGCACTGTGTGTTGGGTTGGTTTTGAGTTTTGTTGAATGGTGTATAATCATTGGAAAGTAATATCATCGCTCTCTTGTTCGTTACTCTGTATTAATCAGGAATGGTATATACTATGTATTTATCATTAATGGGACTGTGTTCAGTTTCTGTGACTTTGAAGTTTTTTGAAGAAGACTGTAGGTATTGACTAACCATCTGTATACTGAGGAGAGGGTACACTAACACTACATGCTACACTGTTGATTTTGTGTAAAGTGTAGAATTTCATCATTGTTCATATGCTTATCGGTACACATAAAAAATTATATGCAAATTTTATTGTTTTAATGATTGATCACTTGACTCAAATAATTTTTATTTTATTTCTGTACATGCATTATAACACAGTAGAACATGGTTAAGTTAAGGAAGTAAAATAACCATTTATAACTCTACCTTATACTTGGTTCCCAGTGTTAGTGATAGACCTTTAAAAATTGGATCCCAAGCAGGAAATAATATTTATTTTACAGGAAATAATACATTTCTTTCTACCATCGTTTTTGCTAGGGTACATATTAACCAGTTTTTGTCACTCATTTTATGCTCCGTTGATGATAATAAGGCGCATTGGTTTAACCATTTCATGATATTTTTACAATAGGAAAGTGTGGGCAAACAATAATCACTCCTGTTTGATGCAGACAGAATATCTAGACTTTGGGATTAAGAGTTCTGAAGATGAGCACCTCGGTAAAGCCACATGCTATACTTCAAAACTCTCACCCTCACATTGAGATGTCTTTTGTGTACATCAGAAAGGACTGATGAATTCTGTTTTTGGAAACTTTTTGGGATCCCTGCAATCATTTTACATCAGTTTGATATGGGTACCGCATCAACACCAACACTGTGTCCATATCTAATTATTTCTTATATTCAGTTTAAACTCAAACTACTACATAATTCAACCTTTTTTGGTAGGCACATTCTACATTGCCAAGATTCTACTGTAATGCTGACGATTTAAATTTTAAATCAATGTGCCGATAAGCAGATGAATTTGATGTAGCTAGATCTATATACTGGTGGTGATGTGTACATGGAACAGTCATGAGCAGGTGTAATGGTTTCGTACAAGTGCGAAAAATATTACATAATGGATGAGTCTTCGAAAAAAATGTTGGCCTGGTTTTTAGGTACAGCCACTTCTCAGCTATTACTGGATCGTAATCTTTGTAGCCTGATCGACACAAGTCTCCACAGTACAAATAGATTTTATTAATTATGAAACCAGACACCGTTGACTTGTCACATAAATGCTCACATCATTGTGTATGTCTGCACGTATATATGCATTGTGTATGTTAAGTATATATTCAGTTTGCATGGATTATTAATACAATGAATTTATGAATGGATCCTGCCTTTAAGAATTGAGATTTTGTAAATCCATTCATAGCATTTGGACAGTTCTGTTAACTCATTAATCACTGAAGCTTCATTTAAACTCTTTCAATTTAAAGCTTGGAATAGTTCATTATGAAATTTAATTCAGGGGTGAATGAGTTAAGATGGTAGCAAACAAATTTACATAATATGATATCCTACACATGATGTAATATTATCCATACATTATATTCGACTGTCTTTGGGTTGTGGTGTATGCTAAATTATGTATCATGTATATGATATAAATATGAACCAAAAGAAGTCTGTGTATAGGGTAATGTTCTCTCAACCAAACAACCATGTGTCTTATTGAAATCCAGGCCGTCATACAGAGGAGACCTCAGTATATATGGTTTACATAACATAATCATCCTTTAAGAGGAAATTTGGTTCAAGTTTGATTGTATGATACTTTAGTAATTCACACATATTATGTTTGATATTAATACCTGGCTGTGATTATATAGACACACTGTACATCAGTTTAACGTCTACAGTAAGACATTTACGTTGACTACTGGGGTATGTTGTATGTGATCAGAACCTTGCCACCATTACGTGTGTCAATATTACCATGTCTGTGACGTTTGTTCCAGTGAGCACATTGTATCACATTGTATTCATTTGTTTTACCAACAATGCTATATCACCATGTATTCTGTTAATTGTTTTGCCTGTTATGTATAACAAATAACAACATATTACGTTGTTTGTTTTGCCTACTGTTATAATATTCTATATCATCATGTATTCTGTTAATTGTTTTGCTTGGAATTTTTTTTTGCATTTCAAAATATTCTTTTGATTGTTTTGACTAGTGGTACAATATTATATATCACCCTATATTTTGTTGATTGTTTCGCTTGAATGTTATGTATTACAATATATTCAGTTGATTGTTTGGCCTGTGATTACGTTTTTAATAAGCATGTTGTTTTTTGTTATTTTATTTCCAGTCCAGCTTGAGTACTATGGCTTATTGTAGTAGACAGTAAGTTGATATTATTGTGAAATCTGTATTTATCAGATCCTGAGTAGCCCTGGGTAGTGAAATCCGTTTAACCCTCCAGACCCTAAAAAGTCTGTTGTCATGGTGAAAGGATCACAGGACACGTCATTCCTTCATACAGCATCTGCAACTAGAGGAGAGCTTAATTACGCCTCATCTCATTATGAAATTAAGTACACTTGTAAAAGTTGCTTTAAGGTATTTCGAATTTGAATTTTGAAATTTGGTTCAATTTCTAGGGAAATGATATAAATTGTATGCCTCTTGAGAATGATGTGTCCTGTTTGCATTGATCATATGCATGGTGGAGGAGAAAATGTATTTATCTGTTTATGTTGATTCTCCTTCAAATGCACTAATGAATAAGCATAAACTGATGAAATATATTACATAGAAATTATATAACAATTACCCTGGTATACTTCAAAATCTTAACTCGAGGCTTCAGCTAAAAATGGCAAATTTATATGTCTGCATGTTAGTTTGGAAGAATCATTGCCAGCCATGTGTTGGTGATCTATGATTAGCCAAGACCTGCACATATTTTGGATATGGGAACCCGAAAGTGGATAGTGCTTATACTGCCCAGTGACATTGTTAAATGATAACCTCATAGATGCATGTACTACAAAATATATGATATATATTTCCGATATATGATGCCTGTATATTAATTGGGCTAATCGTCTGTACCACAGATTACTCAGATAGACTCTATTAAGCTGCATGTGTTGGTGTTATAGTATGGGGCACTTTCCCTCCTTTCATTTCACTATTTGCATTTTTATAATCATGTAGACAAATTGTTTGTATGTAACTGACAAGTTACGACGACCCATTGATCAGTATGTGTGTGTTGATCACCTATATGTATACTGGTATAAGGTTTGTTACCAAAGTTTCACTTTATACACAAAGAATGTATGTATTAAACGTTTGTCAAGCTATGACCGAGTGATTTGTATTGCTGAGCTGAGTCATCTGTATGACCCGATACTGACCTATCAGGAAAGGGGGCTAGATCTACACCCTGCCAGAAACCTGTTCAGTACAGTGTGTATACACTCTAGATCTCTGTCGATAGAAGAAAAGTCTCGGGTCAAGTGACATATGAAATACACAATTTCGTCACATCGTTATAAAGGTAAAAAAATAAAAATCGCTCACTCATGTCATAGCTGGACGAAGGGACCAGTCGGTCTCACTCAGTCACAGCTGGACGAAGGGACCAGTCGGTCTCACTCAGTCATAGCTGGACGAAGGGACCAGTCGGTCTTGAAACGTTTAATGTGTACATTTATGGTGTTTGAAGTAAAACTTTGATATTAAATATTTCCAAACTGATGAATCTTATTGAAGATGGTATAAGGTTTGGTTTAAGTTTAATATGTAGGTCCTACATGTATATTCTGCATGTATTTCTACACACTTATGTGTATACATTGTACAATATAATGCAATAAATATATACAGTTTTATTTATTCATTCATTTGCATAAGAGCATTATGAAAATCAGTTTTCAACACTGCAGAAAGAAACTTGTGTGTAAATTAGTTATATATTCTGCCTGGACTCAGAATTGGTGATACATGTAGTATTTTGATGACTATATACGGGAATGTATTGATTTAGCTGTGATATACCTACCACACATTGGTTATGCTAGACTGTAGTTGATATGCCTTTCTCTATTAGATTTGAGAATGTGACATGAGAAAGAACAGGAATGTAACATGTATTGTACCCACATGGTCATTGTAGGTAAGAAAGTGTACACCCTTAGCCATCGGTCATCTTAGACCAGTGCTGGTAAGCCACATTGACCACCGACTGACCATAGCTGCTGGCCAGAGCATGCAGAATGACCACTTAATAGATTTTGTATAATGTCCTGCATGCCCGCTAGATATATTACCAAACCCAGTATACTATGATAAGAGTGGTGATGATGTCTGTAACAGGTGTATGGAGTTTCTGTGCTATTTTATCCTCTATGTACTCATAATAAATTGTATAATGAATTCCATTATGGTTTTAATATTAGCAATAAAAAATTCAAGAAAATTGGTTTGAAGTATCATGAGGAAGAGTGTAACAGCTTAAATCTGTTCATTAAAGATTGAGAAAAAAATTGAAATTAATTTTGTTTGGGAAGAAAAGAATGTCTTGTTTGCTTATCTAGATGGCATGACAGTGGATACAACTTCTCCAGGGAATGGCCTTTAACCCTCTCTAACAGATCCCACCACAGCAGTGTTCACGTATATATGCTATATTTATAATAACAGTTCAGCTTCATGTACCATCACTTCGTCATCCCGAATGTCTTTAATTGATAAAATGAAGAATAGTGTTTTCATCAATGGCTTACATAAGTTATTTTATCAGTACTCCCTATCATAACAAAATGTTAAATTTGCCCTCATATGTAATTCTATGGTATATAATATATATATAGTTAGATCTATAGTATAAACAGAGTTGTGGAGTACACACGTTTTTTTATGAAAAGTACATATAAGTAAGATATGAATACACTTCTATGGTCCAAATATGGTGATCCAATGAATTGAACAGAAGAAGTTCCATCTCTATAATTAGGCGGGAACAGAAGGACAACTTTGTGTTTGTATTTACTACCGGTATGACCCTAGTATTGCTGCTCTGTGTGTGATACCACAAACAATAGCTGTGGGGGTGTGCACTGTTTGTGACCTCCGTGTTGCGATATATACGCTGCTTTGTGTGGTTTACCATGCACCTGGTAGTACACATGCACTGGCACCATATTGTTCCCAACAAACATGCTAATAACATACTCGAGAAAGCTTCCGTTATTCCTTGGTGTTTTTATTCCGTCTTTGCGTATTGCAGAGTTATCTTCTCTTGGGAGCAGGTGTTGATTGTTACGTCATTGGTTTGTGTGAGAAAATTACGTCGTTTTCTCAAAAATTGATGACGTTACTCTCACAAACAAGTGACGTAACAATCAATACCTGCTCCCAAGAGAAGATAACTCTGCAATACGCAAAGACGGAATACTTAATCAGACTTCATATAAATACTGGTTTACCAGTTCTATGTTTCTCAATTATCTATGTTGTCTTTCTTCATTCTAATTTCTATCTCTGTTCTTCAATTTCAATTACTTTATATATACAAAAAATAATATGATGCGCTTCCTTTACTGTGAACAGTGCCTATTTCAGTTTGTGTTTAAATCAGTTTAATTTCAGAGATACGATAACAATTGTAGCTTTCAAAAAGTTTATGTGAAAGCCTGACACTAGTAAAAGAATAACGGCCAATGTGTCTAAAGTTTGTGTTATTTAATTACAGATAAAGGAAAAGCATCAGGAGGTCCGGCAGAGCTAGGTACAATCAATGCACCCAAACCATCGTCAAAGAGTGGGAAACCTTCACCCCCTCAGCTGCTGAAACTGGCTTCCCAGCTTCTGTCTCCAGGCAGCTCCAGGAAGATGGCCGTCCCAACCATCAACATCATTGACAGCAGTCCAGTTGGAGAGATAAGTGTACAGTCAAGGTTCCCTGCAGATACCGACAAGGCCAAAAAACCTGGGGCTCTGCAGCCTAAGAGTTCAAGTAGCAATGCTCAAAGTTTGCTCAAGTCTGTGGGCCCATCCATCCAGTCATCTATACAGTCCTTTATGTTAGCAACAGCTAAGAGTTTTGGTAGTAATGGAAGTGGCAATAAGTCAAGTAAAGCGGATGTCAATAATTCTAGTCAAGATTCCTCTTCCAAAGCCTGTCAATCTCCTGGGGTTCTGTCTAGACAGAGTTCAGGGTCCCCCTCCAGCTCACCCAATGTATCGAGACAGAATTCCTCTTCCCCCTCCATGAGCCCCACCCCTCAGTCTCCAACCCTGCCTCGGTTTGACAGGTCCTCACCCACACCAACCTCCCCTGTTATTGCACGATCTTCAACATCACCCCCCAACAAACCCCCACCTCCTTCTCCTTCCATCTCAAGATCACCAGAAAAGACCCCTCCATCACCCCCCGTCTTCATCAGGCGTACAACAGCATCAGCCACTAAACCATCACCACCTTCCCCAATCTTTACACGTCACAAAACATCTGAGAAGAATTCTCCACAATCCCATTCTCTTCCTAGCTTATCTTCATCATCAAAACCTCCAACTCCTCCCTCCCCTTCTCTGTCAAACAAATTAGCATCTTCATCTAAATCAACACCTCCCTCCCCTACCCTTGCCAACAAACTATCATCATCAGCTAAATCAAGTCCTCCCACTTTTGCTAAAGGTACATTATCAGAGAAGTCAGTCCCTGCATCTCCATCTCTAGCTCGAGGTGTAGCCTCTATGCGTTCAATTCCATCCCCAACCCTATCTCGCCATGCTGTGTCTGAATCGGTCATCAAATCACGGCCTGTGTCCCCAGGTGTAACGAGACAGTCTGTAGTAAGTAAGCCTGCTCCATCATTATCTTCATCCTGGTCTGCACGCACCTGGGCAGCTGAGCCTTGTCAATCAAGTACCAGTCTCTCTGGTCAGCCTCCTCCCAAGAGTCCCAGTAGGCCCTTGGACCCCAGACACGCACTGACTGAGACCGACACATTGTCAGTGTCAGGCCCAACCGTAAAGCCACGTTCGTCACCCACCTTGTCAAGGCAGCAGGCAGTGCAGTCAGATGATGGTGATCTAAAACCACCCTTCACACCCACTCCTCCTCGCTTCTCCCCAGCTTTGCTCCGCCACTCCATGTCTCTCCAATCATCCTTGCCCACCTCGTATGGACTTCGCAAGACAAGTCCCTCCCCGACTCTCTCCAGAAAATCTCTTTCCTTGTCTGATCACACGACAGGCAAGACAGGAAGGATATCACCACGTCCCTTGTCTTCCCCACTCCTCTTGCGTCAGACAGCCATTACACCCCCACTGGCTTCTTTTCAGAGTCTGAGGGACACTGCTATTACAGGTGACAAGTTGTTTTGTAGTCGATCTGATCACTTTAAAAATCTCACCATTAAGGAAAAGCCTGAACCGAACAACCATTTCGGGGAGAGTGAACAGAAAGCTAGGATGAGCCTTAGCCCTGATAAACGGGCTGTGTCTGACCCTAGCTTGGGTAGAGCATCTTTGTCTGAAGACTTTGTGCCAAATACACCTTCATATGATTATGAAAGTTGTCAGACGCTGTCTTTTGAGGCAGATGATACTAGCGGAAATGTCTCTATGGAAAGGCCAGAGACATCCAGTAGGTCTATGGAGTCCTCCAAAAGTGACCAGTCTTCCTTGTCATTCTCTAGTCACTCCTCAGCCTCTGACTCTGACATTTCGTCTGCTGCAAATTCAGACATGTCCCCAGAATTCAGGAAGAAACTGATATCACTACCCAGACAGCGTGTCCATTTATTGTCTGGAACTGGATTTCCTGACTTTTCACCAATTCTTCCTCGCCAAAAAGATTTTAACATTAAGAAAGCTGATTCAACTCCAAGCTTACCTTGTGCTGCATATCCACTGAGTGGGAATTTGTCAGCCATGCTGAGCGCCCCCAAGGGAACCTGCCAAGGTACCTTGAGTCAGATAGATGGTAGATACAACTCTGTTCCTAGAAAATCCAAGTCATTTGAGTTCCAGTCTATCACAGATTCCTTGTGTGCCTCCAGTAAGGATACAGAGTTGGGACTTTCATCTGGAGTGTCCAGTCCACAGCTGTCCGGAACTGGTCAGGGCTGCAGGCCAGCACATGCAAGGCCGTCAGTTATGCCATCGGGTCCTCGAGCCACGTGTACATACGATGCCTTGGACCCATCATCCTCCACTAAATGTCAATCTGAAGCATTATCCAATCCCAGTATAGCCTCACCATCTAGTCAGTCTTTAACTTGTGTTCTGCCATCTGATACCCCTTCCTTGCAGGCTAAGTCCATGCCACCTTGTAAGGAGGGCCTGCTCCCTGCTGCTGAAATGACTGTGATACAGACAAGCACTGCCCTGAAGGTGTGCTCCAATCCCTCTCTCTTGTCATCGCCATTGAAGGCCAAAGTTCTTTCTCCTACACCCATGTCCCCATCTACCATTAAACAAACAGACCCTTCGTCTTCCGAGTCCCCACCTTTAGCTTCACCCACCCCTGTACCCCCTAATTCCCCTGCTGTGACACAGAGACTTGTAGGATCCACAAATGGAGATCAGTCTTCAGCCACATGCACTTCACCTTCACACTGCAATAAAGACACACTGATCATAGATACTGAACCGTGCAAGGCAGAAGTAACAGATGGATCTTTATCACCTAAATTGTCTCATATCCCAATGCTCAAAACTCCTCCAAAAACTCCCCCATCACCCAGGGATACTCACATACCTGTTCCAAAGACACCACCAACCTCTGGTAGAATTACTCCTACACCACCACCTAAGACTCCTCCATCCCCAAAAACACCTCCACCTTATAAGACACCTTCTACCCCCAAATCCCCTCCACCATCAAAGACGCCTACATCTCCTAAAACTCTTCCATTTTCAAAGAGCCCACCACCTGTTTCTCCAAAGACATATCCTTCTAATAAAAACCCAGGTTGTTTAGAGACTCCACCGGTATCTACAAAAGCAACCAAGTCAGAGAATGCCACACAAGTAGCTACCCCACCATCTATAACACAGACCCCGCCACCAAGACCTCCTCAGACCCTTCCTGCTGTCCCACCCTCTAAGGCAGTACTACCAGACACCACTCCAGCTGTCAGTGTGCCTAGTCTGCCCCTGGTACCAGCAGTTAAAGATGCGAAGACGAGGACTGCTAGAACCACTGTGAAGACCACAAAGTCTGCCTCTAGGGAGCCGGTCAAAGTTGTAAAGGGTCCAAGTGGCATTGTTATGGGTAAGGCAGCCATCATGCCAGGAGGCCGGGGCGCTATGCACAGGTCCATTTCAGCTGGTGGAGCATCTGGTACTGCTAACGGGAAGAGTTCACCCATACCTCCCACAACCAAACATCCTGTAAAGGCTGGTTCTTGTGTAGGGACATCAGGCTCAGGGTGTGTGAGTCCCACCCCACAAACCACAGGCAGGAGAACACCTACTACAGTTACTACAGACAAGAAGCCTCCTACTGGCTCTGCGTCTGGTATAATGTCCGGAAGGAAAACCCCCACTAGTACTGTGACTGTGGCAGCCTCTGGCAGGAAGACACCCACAGGGTCTACTTCCTCTGGCTCTAGCTCTGGCCGCAAAACTCCTGTTACCACAGTAACTAGCAGTAGTTCTAAATCAGAAAAAATGTCCTGCTCTACATGTGGCAGGCGGAAAAACTCAGCAGCAAAGTCTGTGTCTGACGCATCACAGCCAGTAATGCTGACAGCCTACAGACGCGCCTCCACAGGTACTAGTGGGGTCATTTCTTTAGGAGAGCCAGTCCCTCAAGAGTCTCCACATACATGCAAATCTCCTGAAACAAAGGATTGTCCAAAGAAAGATAACAAAGGTGCTGGGCGCAAGGTGGCTGGAAAGACTGCAGGGTCTGGTACAAAGAAGGAAAAGTTGCCTCCTTTTGTGTGATATGCCTGATCATGTCAAGTTGCCTGAGCTAACCGGCTTTTTTACTTTTAAATGCTGACAGAGCAGAGATACAGGCCAAAAAGTGGGACTTAATTGCGTTTATAAATATGAAATAATGTTTTAAAATATGTTATTGCCACTTCCATTGACTGTGTCGTAGCTTGCCTACCTTGTACTAGACATGAGAAGCAGGCCTGCACATTACCACTGTTCTTGTTACTCAACCTCTTCTACATGTTGATACTTTTTCTTTTCTTTTCTTTTTGTATTATATCTAGTGTGAGTATATGTATTACTAAATTTCATTCCGTATTCTTGATAGTTATTATTTTTGTTTGCTTCTAATTTTAACATAAAATGTGACTGATTAAGTGTAGGTAGTAAAAACTTGCAAAGTGTTGACCTACATCTATGGCTAATGTTTTACTGCTGTGCTTGTAGGTCTCTGGTGGTGCATTTCTTGATTTGCTGTATGTGCATGTTATGCATAATAAGCTCTCTACGAACGTTTAAGTATTGGAGACAGAATGATATTACGTCTTAAATGTAGAAAACTTTTTATCTTCTCATAGTGCAATTTTCTATCCATTCCAAAATTGAAATGTTGTGAAGACATGCTATTGGTGTTAGGACTCTACATAGCTTTGCACACGTGGATAAAGAGGAAGTCTTGGTAAGATGGGTCCTCCCATTTAGTTTAAAATTTTGTTTGTTGACAAAAAGGCGACGCAACAAGTGTTATTTTGTCACCTATTGCAGTACATGTATAAGTAACGCAATTTTATCACGAATGCTTACATTTATTATATTTTTAACTAGCAATAATGTTGAGCGATGATATTGAATTCATAATTATAACAGATATGTTTGAAACAGAAGTTGAATACACTAGCTTTTCTAGTGTTACTAGTCACTGAAGGACCAGTGATATCGGTAGATATATGTATCATTTGTGCCTTTTGTTAGCGTGGCACTGTAAGATTGGTGAATTTTCTGTATCTGTAGTTACTGAGATGTACAAGTGGGCTGCAGACACTAGTAATGACTAGGTTTGAGTGTTGGTCCTGCTGGAGTTGTATATATATATATGTATAACCTGATACACATATGGTGCTGAACAACATACCTTTTGTATGGTTTGTACTAGACTATTATGGGATGTGTGGGGACAGAGTGAGAGGAACCACATGTTGATGAGAACGATGGGTTGTTTGTTCTGGTTAGCTCCTTATCATTGTATTGAACAGCAAGGTTCAGTTGTACACTCTAGGAATGATACCAGAAAGGGAAGGTTGTCCAAGCTTAACCCTTTCACCCCTATGTCACTTGAGTAGACTCTACCATGCATTCATGTGGATGAGTTCATTGTGGTCTACAGTGGTTAAAGAGTGGAGGCCAATTAGATTGAAATATTAGTGTAAATACTAGTATCATTGATGTAGTCAAACAGATTTTGAGTTATTATTGAAGATCCAGATGGGTGACTGGTTTGTTACTTTAATGCTATCTTTTGGAGTATCAACAATACCTTGTGTGTGATTACAGTGTTAGGTTGTCGGCCTGAACAGACGTACGAGACTTGTTTGTCACTGAAAGAAAGGGAGGGAGTAAGAGTGAACTAGAACTGGACTGGGACGAGAATGTAGACAAGGTGTGATTACCCCAGTGAGGAGAAAAGTGTAATGTGGTTTATGTTATATGCTTTTAATAGAAATCATTTTATTTAAGCAACATTTCAGTCAAGTTTATTTTAAACCATACTGTGAATTTGTGATCGTGATAACTACGTAGAGACAAGCTGGTACCTAACTGTGTACGGTTGTACGTACTCGGAAGGTCAGATGGCTACAATTCTTACCGGTAATGTAAACATTGTGTGCAGTCCATGTTGGCCAAATCATAGATTGTTTTGAATTAGGTTTTAGATTTCGTAATATAATTACCTGACAGATATACTCCAAACCAAGGGATTCAGGGATGATTATTGGGTTTGTGCACATATTTTCAAACTTAACAAATTTAATGCACAATAATATAAACAGCTGAAAGTTTCAAAGGACTATGTAAATCCATCAAAATTATAAATCTGCAATAGAATTTTCAAACGACTGTTTCTTTAATTTTGAATACTTCCCCAGTACTATTATGTAAACATTTATTTGTGTTTTTAATTTTGGCTGCCATGGTATCCAGGTCGTATTTGCATAAATGATTGAAATTTGATTATTCAGTCAATTTTGACAGGTTTTCACCTAGTTTTTCTCTTAGCTACCATAGAGCACACTCTTGAACAAACTTGATATTTCTCCTTAAGATGTATTACAGGTGCCTACAAATTATCCTTTGATATTAAGTTTGTTCAAGCATGCGCTCTATAGTTTCTAGGAGAAAAACTTTGCAGCAAAATATCACAATATTCACTGAATATTCAAAATTTTCTAATTTATGCAAATTTGAACTTGTTACCATGGCAACAATAATTAAAAATATAAATATATATTTTCATAATAATATTTGGTAAGTATTAGAAATTAAAGAAACTGTCATTTCAAACTTCATTTAAAGGTTTTTAATTTTGATGCATTTGGGGGCCAAAACAGGCCCAAACCATACATAGTCCTTTAGAACGTAGATGTAAATTTTTGTCACTTATCACATCCAATAGTTTGATAGATAGGTTGTAAAATCGATTCTTGCCATAAACAATGCATGTACATGTATTTACAATGAAAACTAGCTTCTGACAGGCATCTGGCTGATAATTAATTGTCTTATGATATTATATATGACATCTAGACAGATGGTACAGTTAAGTGTGTAGATGTCAGCATAATTACTGAAGTCAAGACTGAACTCGAGAGTTCAGTGTAGTAGTTTGTAGTACCTCAGTTTGATAGCGAGAGTCTAGCAGACTGAATACTAGAGTTCGGTTTGTAGTACCTCAGCTTGATAGCAGAAGTCTTGCAGACTGAATACCAGAGTTCAGTTTGTAGTACCTCAGTTTGATAGTGAAAGTCTAGCAGACTGAATCCTAGAGTTCAGTTTGTAGTACCTCAGCTTGATAGCGAGAGTCTAGCAGACTGAATACTAGAGTTCAGTTTGTAGTACCTCAGTTTGATAGTGAAAGTCTAGCAGACTGAATACTAGAGTTCAGTTTGTAGTACCTCAGCTTGATAGCGAGAGTCTAGCAGACTGAATACTAGAGTTCAGTTTGTAGTACCTCAGCTTGATAGCTGAAGTCAAGAAGACGGAACTCCAGGGTTTAGTTTGGAGTACCTCAGCTTGATAGCTGAAGTCAATAAGACGGAACTCCAGGGTTTAGTTTGTAGTACCTCAGCTTGATAGCTGAAGTCAAGAAGACGGAACTCCAGGGTTTAGTTTGGAGTACCTCAGCTTGATAGCTGAAGTCAATAAGACGGAACTCCAGGGTTTAGTTTGTAGTACCTCAGCTTGATAGCTGAAGTCAAGAAGACGGAACTCCAGGGTTTAGTTTGGAGTACCTCAGCTTGATAGCTGAAGTCAATAAGACGGAACTCCAGGGTTTAGTTTGGAGTACCTCAGCTTGATAGCTGAAGTCAAGAAGACGGAACTCCAGGGTTTAGTTTGGAGTACCTCAGCTTGATAGCTGAAGTCAAGAAGATAGAACGCTAAACTTCAGTTTGTAGTACCTCAGCTTGATTATATATAGCTCTAGTCAAGACTGGAGTTCAATGTGTAGTACCTCAGTTTGATGACTGTCTGTCAATGCAAGTTTGTCCGAACACTATAACGTTCTGTATGTAGTGTATATCAGTATGAACATGTAGATTGAAATATTGCCATAGTTTAACAAATTGTTTGGTAATTATTGTACACTAGGATATTTTTGTCGCAGTTTAACTTTCGCCTTTTTTCTCTCCCAAATGAGAGTGAATATTGGGTAGTTCACAGCTTACATTATATAGTGATCACATATGTGAATGGTGATATTAACACTGGGTGAACATGAATTTTATTGGTAAAGGGCAAATATTTGACTGGGCAAAAATGTTCAGGTATACAATAATATTGTAACCAAATGCCTTATAATATAATGTGTGTCGCAATGCCACGCGTGCAATATTGTTACATAATGACTCGCTGTATGTTTGTTATATATTGACTCACTGTACGTATGTTATGTATAAAACCTTGTAAATACAGCATATTTATCATATATTTTACAGATAGACCTAGATGTGTAACATTTTCTATACAGTATTCACATGGTATGATCCGATATATATTTTGTAAGTTATTAATTATTATATTGATTTATCATATTTTTAATTTGATTCTTTTAACGTTTGAATGGTGTTTGAATGATTATTCTAACTTTGTATCTTTCTCTGCAAAATATTTTATCATGCATTTTGCAAACATGACCAGTTACTTGTGCTTATCACCTTAACCAGCAGTGGACTAGTTATTGATTTGAAACCCTATTATACTGCTTTTTTCTCGTTAATAGCTCAGCCTTGTTGATTTAAGCTTGAAGTTTAAGAATCTCAGCATCAGATTGTGTAATCAATAAATGTTTATCAGACTAAACTTGTTTAAAACAATTAGATAAATTTGATGTATTTTTTTTCAATGAAACTATGGAAGTTTTAAAAAGTAGGAGAACATTTAATTCTCAATAAAAATAAATTTGTGCTAATATATGTGGCAAGAGTTTTACTACAAACAGCTGATATTAGACAGTGTATTTTAAGTTAGATATTTTAATCATAATAGACTTTAAATTCAATGTATTTTCAAGAATGGACATATTATTTTTCTAGGAATCATGATCAATTCTAACAGTTTGATATAACAATCGTACGCTCAATACACAAATGCTCAAACGATTTTGTGTGAATATCTTTTTAAATGATTTTTTTCTTTAAACAATGTTTTTTACTATCTCTTGTAATATATTTTAGGGAAAACTTGGCATAATAGACATAATATGATGTAACCATAGGTTGCTGTCCGTTTGTATGGCAGTGTAGTATAATAGGAAACTAAACCAAATGTCAGGGGAGGTAGATCTAGTTTTTAGGCTAAATTGTACAAAATAGTATAGAAAAATAGAAAATAATGAGTCAATTGTAAAAGTCTTCCAACATACAACATATCGTTACATGTCGGTTACTGGTAAGTTGTCAGTAAAACGGGTTGTACATGTATACGTAGTGATCTGATACCTTTCTAGTCATAACATGGTCAGTTACACCTAGGTAGGCTTGTTTCAGTTAATTTTTGTTTCTAACATTGATAAATGAGTCTGATTATGGATATTTTGATTTTAATTTTTATGCGTTTTGTCAAATTAGACCTTGCCCCCCTCTGTAATACTGTACCACAGGTTACTTAATTGGTTAGGGAGTTATCATGATCAGAAAATGGGCCTTGGTAACTAATATATTTTATTGCTATATTTTTAATATCAAAATACAACTATATAATATTATAAGATGTACTATTGCAGAAAATTTTATCAATTTTTGTGATAAACAGAACTCATTCATCAGTCTGTTGATATCGGCAACAAATTTTTGGATAGAGTAATTTGTAACCAATAATGACACTTTTAAGGACTGCCAACTCGACGGTGATCGTGGTGGACTCTCCAGTGAAAGTGGGGTAGATATTATTTCTGTGATATATAGCTAAACTTAGTGGATCAAAACCTCATTAGATGGCTTATACTGGTATTCCTGTTATTATTGAAATTATCTATACACTGTAATTTTATAATGACCAGGGATAACGAGAGTACTTTTTTCCTTTAAAATTTCTGACAACCTATCTGTGGATGTCAACTTCATGTGTCTCTGCACTGTGAATGGGGAACCTAGTGTATATTTCACCAGTGAAAATACAGCAACACCTTGTTATACTGCCACCATTTGTCCAGTGAAATGTTGGTGTTATAAAGGGGTTTGGCAATAAACTGAGGGAGAAGGATATATAAGGATGGAGATGAAAAAAAGGGAAATGTTGGCAGTACAAGAGGTGGTCAATAGAACAAATGGCATTGTATTGAGGTTTTACGTCACCGTGAAATTAACATTATTGTTGTCCACGTTCTGTACACTTTCAATCCTTTTAGTATTTATAAAGCAAATTGAAAGCCATTCATTTGGACATTAGTAGCAATGAAGTTATAGGGCCTGTGGAAAATTGACTTTTTTATAGAGGTTGTAGTTGAGCTGTAGAATGCGAAGCTTTCGTATTTAGAAGATCAATTTTTTCGTTTAAAGTTTGTCTTTATGATGAGTTTGTATAAGTTAGCTTGGATAAATGAGTTGAATGATCTGCAAGTATGCAGTTAAAATGTGATAATTCTATTTTCCAAGTTGGTGCAATGTTGTATTTTGCCCAATTGAGAACACTACTGTAAATGATTGAAACTTATTATTAGATCAAAGCTTACAATTGTATAGGGGTACTGGTGTATATGTGTGAAATGCGACAACCAGTCAAGATACACAAATATTTTATTTCTAAACTGATCAAGAATTATTCAGTACACGCTATTTTTGGGAGTACAGGTTTATAGAGATAGAAACAGACTCTCTCAAATCATTCACCCCTGAAATTTCATAATGAACTTTTTCTAACATTTGAATTGGAAGAGTTCAAATGTGTCTTCAGGGGTGAATGAGTTAATTTGGTAACTAAATCTACATGGAAGGACCAAAACCCACTTAATTATAAATCATACAATACCTTGTATGGTATACCGTTGTAAATTACAAGAATATGAACCAAGGTTCCAAATTTTTACTTCTCCAAACAAAATATTCTACGATGGAATATGAAAAATTCACTTAGTACGTTTGTGTAAAATGATAGCTGCATTTGAGTGTCATACAAGTATGCATAATACTGGTTGTGTTACGATTGTGTTGTAACATTTACACACATACCTTACAGTATGTAGGGAAATAGATGAAGATGATGAATACTAGTTCAGAGTGTAATATACATATTACATTGACATGATATTATTATTACTAAAGGAATACAGTGTAAAGTATGTGTGTGTAGTGTCAGATACACTTTATATATATTATGTGTATATAGTGTAAGATACACATGTGTAGCGTCAGGAACAATGCATATTACATTACACATGTGTATACTGTGCAATGTAAGATATGCAGTGTTAGATACATGTGCAAGATACACATGTATGAAAGTCAAATACATGTACACATGTGTAGTGTCAGATACATATATGTAAAGTGCCAGATAAATGGTCAGGTACATGTTTATGATAGAAAAATAGTCACATATACCCTCTGTATAAGATCTGTATCATGCATTTACATGTAAACATTATGTAATGGGGATTGAATCGCCATATCTTTGTATCGCCAAACATAGCTGTGAGTAGTGGAGTGTACAGATTATGGTAACTGCTGGTAGTCCCGAGTCATAATCTATGTAGCTGTGTAATGTAGTAGCTGTACCAGCCATTAATCAACATTTGTTCTATTATAATGTAGTATGTGTTTTACCATCTAACACTCATTTATGAATAAATTTAATGATTACGATATTTCGTTTTTGCTGTTGTTGTTTACTTATTTCCTCATGTTACAAACATCCTGATGCTACTTTAGCCTCACATTATTTTTAAAGAGATGTCAAGTCAGGAATCTTTATCTGTAGGTCGGAAACACAATTTAGATTCCTTAATTCGGGAATTCCAGTCGGATTCCTTTCAGAAGTAGTCAAGAAACACAAGTCAGATTCCTTAATCTGTAGCCCGTTAACATTTTACATTTTCATCTTCAGCTGAAATACTGGCAAAGGGATTTCATTAATATTTCATGGGAAGGTTACTGACATCCCTCTGAACTAGTGTTGTTATTTTTCGGGTCGATCAGAAATCCAATATGGCCGCCGCCTCAGCCGCCATTTTGAAAAACTATTTCAAACTTAAAAGTCAAGGTCTGCTGGGCCGATTGAACTGAAACCTGGTAGGAATGATCGACACATGGTCCTGACAAAGTGTTGTTATTTTTCGTGTCAATCAGAAATCCGATATGGCCGCCACGACCGCCATTTTGAAAAACTATTTCAAACTTAAAGTTAAGTTCTAATAGGCCGATTTAACTGAAACTTGGTCTAGGAATGATCAGCTCATGGACCTGACAAACTTAAATTAACATTATACTTAACTTTTTTGTTCTCAAATTGGTTCATATTTCAACAACAAATAAATACTGTAGGACCCAGGTGACCATTTAGGCCCATGGGCCTCTTGTTAAAGACACGTTATGTAGTTCAGTGGACGCGTGGAAGGGCATAATATTCTTCATACATTGTTATTTATCCTCCGAAACTGCATTTTATTTTAGCTCTCCCTATAGAATGGTCCAAGTGTGTTGGTTTATCGTGGAATGTCTCTGCACCACCTGCATCGTTTCAACCGGAAAATGCGAATGTAACCCAAATATATCACCTGCATCAATCAACACTTTGGGTAAATCCCTTCAACATTCCTTTATATTGTTGTTACATTATATCTGCCATTATGATTTTAAATCTATCCTTCATGACCTTGACCTTTGACCATGTCACCTTGACAAAATGACAACGGGCCATTTTGCTTCAATCTTAATATCACTTAATGATTTCATGCATTGTTTACCATCAAGAAACAAATTGAAGAAGCTGCAAAATTGTCCAGTATTCCCAAGAAAAATGATGGACAGTCAATGAAAGGCAATTTGAAAAGTCCAACATCTGGGCTAAGAAAAAGGGAACAAAACATTTAGTTATTGCACCAAAATTTTAATGGCAAAAAATATGGCAAAATTGTAGACAAATAATTTACCTAATTAGCTCTGTATAATATGTATACACAACTCAACCACAACATCACAATTAACTATATTATAGAAAAAGTTCAACAACACAGACTCCAAAACCAGACTGAACAAAAAAACAATGGCCTAAACTTCAGTTTAAGACAAAACTAGACAAGATCTAATAATAACCCAGGCAGTGGAAAACAGTTACTTATGCTACTGGTGGAGAGAAAAATGCAGGATTTTACAGGGACATCACTAGGAGGTATGCAAAAATATACACACATTTATGTATAAAAACAATTTCAACGTCTTTGATTACACTTCCAAATGAAGTATAGCTTTCCTTAGAAATACATCCTGTAGCGACTAGGGTCAATCAACTACTGGATACCTGTATAACCCTACTGCTGGCTAATAGGTACATCAAATGAGCTCGCTCTTTAATCACAAGTACTATATTGGCCAAAGAAAAACTGTTACCTGTATTAACAAAGTAACAGAATTTTTTGCATATTTGTTTTACATAAATTACAAAATAGATTTGGTTAAATGTAATTCAATACATAAAAACAAACTTTGTTACCTGTATTCACATAATAATATACTTTTTTTTTACCTGTAATTACGTAGATACAAAATGTGTCAGCTGTTTTAACATTATATATAGTAAGACTTTGTTACTTATATGTATACAGTAACAGACTGTTACCTGTATTTACATAGAAGCCCATTAAATTTGTTGACTGTTTTAATATTATAGTAAGACTTTTTTACAGTATTAAACAGACTGTTACCTGTATTTACATAAGGGCACATTAAATTTGTTATCTGTTTTAATATTATAGTTAGACTTTGTTACCTGAATTTAAAAAGTAACAGACTTTACTTGTACCAACAATTTGAATTGACAAAACACAAAATATTATTGGGAAACGAATACAGTAAATTTGCATTACATTTTCCATAAAAACAGGTTTGTGCACACAAAAAATAGCAGAAAATTTGCTTATGTCCAATCCAAATGTTTAATTATTTCATTATCAGCACATTCAGCACAATTAATTGCAAGGCACTTTGACGATGACATTTTAATAAAGAAGTCATCCAAAATATATCAATAACTCTGTTAAGTATGCTTGTGAAAATATGCAGAATGCTAATTAAATATGCATCTGATTTTTTTAAACACCTGTCTTAGCCTAAGCATTTTACGAAAGTCATTGTTCAGAATCAGAGACTGAAGGAAGGATCAACTGACGGAGGCCATAGAGTAATATGTTTTTTACAATGTTTTGACGAGTGTATGAAAAAATTCAACTATGTGTACTGTATTCAATGAGTCAGAAAATCTTAATTTGTATTTTAGATAAAAATTATCTTCAATCCAGTGTTACATATTTAAATACATTGTAGTATACCTTTGGCATGCCCAGTAACATCATGTATATTATTATATATTTTTTTATATACTATTACATTCAAAGCATACATTAGTCAATGTAATTAAAAAAATATTTTACAAAATCATTATACAAAAAGAAAAACTTGACCATTTGAATACAACATTGGTTTTTGCATAGTGTGTATATATCAGCATTTTCATTGTGAACACAAAATTGGCAATGACTTAATTTTTATTGAAAATATCATATGTCGAATTCATTTTCAATGTGGGTTCAATCATTTCAAAATGGCTTCTTTAGAATCAGTGTAAGGTTATATTGTAAAATATAAGTAACATTAGTAGAAGGGATTTCTGCAGGCGGGTCATCACTGAATAAACAGGTTATCATTATTATAATTATAATTATTATTAGAGTTTACCAAATAATCAATTTTTCGTGTCAGCAAAACCTCTTTGGCAAGATCAAAATGATGTAAATAAATTTCGGTTATTAAGTAAAATATACCTAGTCTTACAATATGGTTTGACTTAATCTGTCAATAAACATGCAGTACACCACTTATAATTCTAATAGGTATTCATAACTAATACAGCGATGATGAAATCAATTGAAGCCTGTATCTGTGACCTAATGTTAACACCTGTACAGAACTACAGTTACAAAACATCAAAGCTGGTTTGTTTGTTTGTGTTTTACGTCCTATTGACAGCTATATGGTCATATAAGGATGTGCCAGGTTTCGGTGGTGGAGGAAAGCCGGAGGTCCTGGAGAAAAAAAACTGACCTGCAGTCAGTACCTGGTGGCGACTGCCCCACGTAGGTCTCAAACCCGCGACCCAGTGGTGGAGGGCTAGTGGTAGCAGAATGTCAGACGCCTCGACCACTCAGCAACGGCAGCCCCTCAACAAAACATCATAGCACCACTTTAATTTGTACATATCTAATGATGATTACTGGGACCTCACACAAGACTAGATTCTTCACACAGCAATAAACTATAGGAATCAAGCAATATTTGAAAGGGACTTTTTCAAAAAAAAATTCAAAGGAATTACGAAACAAAAAGATTGCCTAAACTGCATATAAATTTAAATATGGTAAAGATCTCAAAACAATAATAAGAAAAAAAAACCATGATTGACATTGAATATGGCAAACAATAAACACTTTGGCAGCGTATCAAAATATTTCTCAAAATTAGAGGATACATGGTGATTCTTTTGGATGTAAGATATAGCATTTTCTGGTATTAAAGCAACATATATACCAAGGTACATGTATATGTAAGAATAAATGATGTACACATGATTAAACTCTATTTAAGCAAAGACTCCATAAACAAACTGGCCATTCCTTGTATACTGTTTGTATGTAAGAAGTTTGTGTAAATATGGCACACTTCAAGTGATAATGAGACATAACAAAATCTGCATGCTACTTTTAGCTAAAGCTTTCAAACATTTCAAACCTGCAAGACAATGACATACACATATTTAGGCAGGCATCCCAATATATTTAAATAGAATGGTAGAATGGTAGATGCTGGCCTAGTACTGGTAGATGCTGGCCTAGTACTGGTAGACGATGGCCTACTACTGGTAGAATGGGATGATGGCCTCACTGAACAGGTCTGATGTCACAGTGCCCATAGTAGAGGCCGCTTGGAGCATTTCCTCGTGGTCATTCATCGTCCCTGCATTGGACATGGAGTAGGCTGCAATAAAACACAAGCCTTGGATTAACATAGTTAAATATACATAGATATCTGTACCTAGATACCTGATAATAATATAAGAATCATGGTTAAATGTACAGTTCTCTTATTACAACACAAGTTTACAGTGTAATACAACATATTGCCCACAAATTATCCATGAGGTAACCAGTTAACCATCATCCAGCAATATGACAGATTACAGGTAACAATCTACACACCTGAGTATGACAGATTACAGGGAACAATACAGGGAACGATCTACAAGCCTGAATATGACAGATTACAGGGAACAATCTACAAGCCTGATACAGGGAACAATCTACAAGCCTGAGTATGACAGATTACAGGGAACAATCTACATGCCTGAGTATGACAGATAACAGGGAACAATCTATTTGCCTGAGTATGACAGATTACAGGGAACAATCTACAAGCCTGAGTATGACAGATTACAGGGAACCATCTACAAGCCTGAGTATGACAGATTACAGGGAACAATCTACAAGCCTGAGTATGACAGATTACAGGGAACAATCTACAAGCCTGAGTATGACAGATTACAGGGAACCATCTACAAGCCTGAGTATGACAGATTACAGAGAACAATCTACACCCGTGAGTAAGTCAAATACAGATAACAGACAACAATCTACATACCTGAGTATGACAGATTACTGGGAAATATCTTGTCCACCATCTGCATCTGATCGACTTCCTCCTCCTCAAGATATGCTCTACTGTTCGCAAAGGAAGGCAGAGTGAAATGGGAGGGGCTGACATCAAGGTTGTCAAGACTGTCAAATCCTGTTCTCTCTCTCCTGTCTATGTAGCTTGGAGCTCCTTCTGATGCCCGAGGAGTGAAATGGCTCTCCCCTGGAGAGAGGTCTTGGCGGAAACGTGAAGAATATTCGTAGGTGTAGGGGGAGGTAACACTGGCCAGGTTGGGACTGAGGGAAGGGGAAGTAGTGTCGTTTCTAGAGGACAAGCTGTTACTGTGAGAAGAGGGATTATAACTGTTACTGTTAGGGGAAGGTGCGTAAGTGTTACTCTCAGGGGGCGAGCTATAGCGATGGGAGGAATACAGAACACTTTGCTCTGCCTGCGTCATATTCCGGCTGTCCATAAGTGGGCGCGATGTTTGGCTATCATTGTAGCTGGGACTCGGTACACTGCCTGTCTGTAATCCATACATGTTCTCCAGGGATGACAGGGGCTTTTCCTGTGATAACAAAAAACACAGCTGCCTGAACAAGATTACAACTTCTTCATGAATACAATTTAACTTTAATACAGATGTCACCAGGGTGAACGGCAAACTTTGTAGCCGCGAACAAAAAAACGCATCAAAATAAGGCAGTTACCTCCCCTTTGTATAGGTGCATAACACATCAAAACAAGAGGCCCAGGGGCCTTAATAGCTCACCTGGTATTTTATTTTTCAATTTAAAACCTGCTGAGTACCATTCAGGTTTATCAAAGGAGTACAAGTAACAAAGTTGCATCTTCCATTTATAAATATTCAATTCCCTTTGCCCAAAGATTCTCTAAAACAAGTTTGGTTAGGTTAAAATCCCTTCAACGGTACAGAAGGAGAAGGATCTTTAATGTTTTCCTCTATTTCCCCTAATGGGCCCCACTAATCTGCCCCAAAGAAGGGGAATCCACACACCTCAGTTTAAACAAAATTGATTCTTTTCTCCCTAAGCATGCTTCAGACTGCATTTGGTTTAAATCCCTTCACTTGTATAGTAGGAGAAAAAAAATCCTCTATTTCCCCTATTGGGCCCCGCTCCTATGCCGCCAGAAGGCCCACACCCTCCGTTTATACAAACTTGAGTCTCCTTTGTCCAAAGATGCTCTAGGACAAATTTGGTCAAAATCCTTCAATTGGTTGAGGAGAAGATTTTTAAAGATTTACCTATTTTCCCCTATTTGGCCCCGTCCCTCTGCCCCCAGGGGGACCATACCCTCCGTTCATACAAAACTGAGAACCCTTTGGCCAATGATGCTCCAGACCAAATTTGGTCAAAATCCCTTCATCGGTACAAAAGGAGAAGGATATTTGATGTTTTCCTCTATTTCCCCTAATGGGCCCCACCCATCTGCCCTTAGAAGGAGGCCCACACACCTCAGTTTATACAAAATTGATTCTTTTGTCCCTAATCATGCTTCAGACTGCATTTGGTTAAAATCCCTTCACTTGTATAGCAGGAGAAAAAAAATCCTCTATTTCCCCTATTGGGCCCCGCCCCT